ACCAAAGATATTGCTATCATGTTATTATTATTTTTTTTTTGCCTAACTATATTAAGAACTTTTTTTGGTGGAAAACTTTCATTACAACCAGATATAAATAAATTCTCTCACTCCACACAGTAGAGAAAGAGAAGCCTTGTGCTTTTACCTGTTGGCAAGGTACCTCTCAGTATATTTTATATACCAGTATTAAAATCTGCACAGGGCATGTGAAATGAAGTTGATCAGTTCCTGGATTCGCAGCTACATAGCTTCTGGGATAAAGGTATTAAAAACTACCAAAACATTAGCAGAAAATAATAGATTTGGGTGGTGATTACTACTTGCACCAAAGATATCGCTATCATGTTATTATTACTATTTTTTTTTTTTGCCTAACTTCATTAAGAACTTTTTTTGGTGGAAAACTTTCGTTGCAACCAGATATAAATAAATTCTCTCACTCCATACAGTAGAGAAAGAGAAGCCTCGTGCTTCCACCTGTTGGCAAGGTACCCCTCAGTATAATTTATATACCAGTATTAAAATCATATAAATAATCTTCTTTTAATTGAAAATTCAGTTTTGATTGAAATGGAATAAATATATAATGTCCACAATGTGTACGTCATGTATTTGAAGATTTTGAATCCCCCCAAATAGAATTTATGAATCTTCAAACGTACCTTAGAACGAGGTATATTAATTTCATAACTGCAAAATATTCACAGGGTTGTGTTGTCATTTAGAAATCAAAAGGAAACTCAAGATTACAGCTTTTGGAGCAGAAAAATTAGCATTTTTAGAAGGTTAAAAAATTTCTAATTGTTAGAAAAGATGCTTAAAGAAATTGATACAAATTAGCCAAAATATCTGGCATGGCTTCAAATTAAAAAGATGCATAAATATTGGGTTTTAACAAAATTTTCCTGCCACCACAAATTTTGTCTGCGCAAACAGTTCGTGTTGGCGTATTTAATCATATTTTGTCAAACGATTTTTGGCATTTGAAAGAAAGAGACTTGCTTTAGAACACTGTGTTGTGAAATCTGTAAAAATAATATCATTATCATTAAGTACAAAGTGTCTGAAATAGAACTACCATGGTACCAGATTAGAACCATCAATGTACTTCCAGTTCTGTCGCAGATTGTCTACACAAGCTAAAATAATAAGTCAAAGAATTGCACAAACTTGGTATCTATGTACTGCCAAAAATCGCCAAGGGGCACTTTAAATATATTTTTACCTGTTGCTATTTAGAATAAAAAGGAAACAGTAGAAACTTGAGATTACAGCTTTCGGTGTAGAAAAATTAGCATTTTTTAGGGGGCTAAAATATTGACAAAGCGGTATATTTTATATACCACTGCCATTGAAAGAGACTTGCTGTAGAACACTGTGTTGAGAAATTTGTAAAAAAAATACCATTATCATTAATTAAGTACAAGGCGCCTGAATTGGAACTACGCACTACCAGATTAGAACCATCATTTAGTTCCAGTTCTATTGCAAAAAGTGAGCGACAGAATGTCACCAAATTATGTGTACTGCTTTAGGTACTAATGTTGTTTCATATGGTCAAGATTTGTTCAAAAACAAGGACTACGACATTCAAGTAGCACAGCGCTCTGGTCAGCCTACTGATAATTGATGAGGCCTGCAGGCCTGTGAGAACTTGTGGAATCAAGATCAGTGTGCAACCACGCAAGAGCTTGCTAAGGAATCAGACGTTACTGCCATATCCATTAGGCGCACTATGCATTGCATAAACTTGACGTATAAGTTCAATTGCTGGATGGCGCTGCTGCAAGAGCTGACTCAAGCAGCAGATAAAGACAGACATGTTTGGGCTTGCACTAATCTGCCTGAATATCAATGCAAGGACAAAATTCTGGACCCGATTGTCACTTGTGATGAAAAGTAGATTTCCTTCAACAACGCAGGCCAAAAGAGGATTGGTGTGTGTTCGGTGAGCCCGTTAGCAGTGTTTCAAAGTGAAGATGGACTAACAAAAAGATCATGCTTTCTATCTGGTGGGATTGCTGTAGTTTTATCCACAAAATGTAAGTGGCAAAAGGTAACAGTAAACTATGCCCTCGACAGTAGAGTGTATAGTGAGATGATACACCGTGTTGATGCTACTACTATCAAGGAAAAATGAACTGGGTTTCGACACAAAAAGGTGTTCCATCAAGATAATGCAAGACCATGTGTGTTCGCATTCACCGGCTGAACTCTGTACCGATTCGAACGGGATGTTTTGCCACACCTATAGCCCTGACATCGCTCCTTCTGACTTCTATCTTTTCTCACTATATCTTACTAGTGCTGCATTCCATTCTGCACAGGATGTCCAAAATGAGTTTTTTTGGGCTGAAGGCTTTGAAAAACTACAAAAACAGTGGCAGAAAATCATAGATTTGGGCTGTTTTCATTTTTTTTCCCTTCCTAACTTTATCAAGAATGTATTTTGGTGGAAAACTTTATAACCAGATATTTTGTTGTGTAAAAGCTACAAAACATAATGTTTTGAAGTTTTATGTGTAATTGTCCTCATTTCATTTAAGAATCAATGTCATAAATTACATGCCTTAAACTGTGAAATATTAGATTAGAATACTCATAGATAATAATATTAATTAGATTTAGCTTAATATTAACAAATATTTTTTAAAACACATAAAATTTAATAGTGGCCATGTAAATCTCTAATGATTAAGGATATCTAACAATTTAATTATTTGTGACTAATTGCTCACCCTTAAAGTTATCATTGCATGTTGAAGCATGTTTTGATGTCTCGAAAGTGTGGATTAGGATATGTATTAGATTTACTTATAGCATTCTAATTTAGGTATTTTGACACAAAAATGGGACTGAAATGGCATACCAATTTTTTCTAAATTTTGATTCTACCACTCAAATTACGCCAAACTGCCAAGTTATGTAAAAATCGCATGGGCAGTTTAAAAAAAAAAAAAAAAATTAGCTCCTCAATATTAATTAAGTTTGGTATATATTTATCAATCTCTTTTTTATTAAGCTTACTTGATTCCTTCTTCCAGAATACGAAATTTGGGTTCATTCCAAATAAAAAATTTTTTACGATTTATTTTTTTAAATTTGTATTTTAAAATAATTTTCATAAATTTTTGAAACAAATTTTGAATTATAATCTATAACATTTTACCATCATCTTAAAATAGATGTATTTCTAAGCAAACCTGAAAAAACATTCAGTTACTTATTCAAAATTTATGAAAATATGCGTGAATTTATATATTGGCACGTTTTGAAAATTGGCATATTTGTTGAAAGCAATAAAACATCAAATGTGGTTTAGGCACTTCGTTAAAATTATTTGAAAGTAGGAACGATGTGACTTTTTCCCCACTCATGCAGAATGTAAAAAGGTAGGAACAAAGTGCCTTTTTTGCCGCTGATGCACAATGGGAAGGGAAAAGAAAATAGGTTGCAATATATTAAAAAGGCTAAATGCATTATTCTTGGCCCAAACCAGAAAAAATGTGCCAAGATAAGGTTTTGCATTTCTCCATAAATTTCACACCAAATTTTACAAAATTTAATATTTAGGATAATTTGAGTTTTATAATCAAAATATGGAAAAAATTGGCATGTTATTTCAGAAAAAGGTCCAATTTTGTGTCAAAATACTTAATGTTAGAACAGTGCTATATACAAATCTAATATATATATCTCCTATGTCACACTTTCGCGACACGAAAAACGCAATTTGAATTTTGTCAATCGGCCCAGTAGAATGGGAGATACAGAACTCTCCTCGTCTTTTTTTTTTTTTTGCAGTGTACAAAATGAGACATAAAAGAAAAAAATCAACATAAAGCTAACTATTAGTAAAACATAAATAAAATGCCACTACTCTGCTTTCAAATATACCCAACTATTTATTATAAGTGTAAAATTATTTAATGCTACTTGATAAAATTTATATATATATTTTTTTATAATTCTGTTTATTAAACTTTGTTTAATAATAATGCATCCTACTTATGGACCAATTTTATTCTTAGGATGGTATTACAAAAGTGAAGTTCAGGCATAGATAATATCTTTAATTGAATATATTCAGTTCCTATTTTCTGATACGTATTTAATTTTTTTCATCATTGGTCCTTAAAAGTACTTAATTTCCATGTGCAGAAATGTGTACAAACCCTGGAAATCAATGGCAGCTATGCTTCAAAATTAATTTTGAATTGTGTCAATTCATGCAAAAAGATATGAATAATTTCAGAATTTTAATAGGATAATGATAATATTAAATAATTTGCCCTAAATACCCAAAATATACAAATTCACAAATTACTGAAATGTTATATGGATAAATTTATATTTTCCTAATTATAAGTTGCCTTATTAAATGCTATTTAATGAAATATAATACTATCAATTTAAAAATATGTTTTGCATCGAGTTTTACAGCCACACAAAATAATGGTTTCAGAAATTAAGTCCTTTTGAATAGCTCCAGAATACAGATCCTGGAATTTTCTGATGAATAGCACATGGATCATATGGTGATAATAATTTTATTTAGTCGGTTGAATGACAAGATAATATATACATACATACAAAAATATTCCCATGATTTTAGATGGAGAAACAAATTTGTTTGTTAAGTTACTCTAACAAAACTGATAAAATATCAATAAAAATATATGGTTATATTTATGATTCAGTATATATTTTTATACTGAAATGTCCCACCCTTAGATTTCCTTTTTTATGTCAATTAAAATTTCTTTGTCAATCAGACGAAAACTTATTTAAATTCAAATTATCTTATTCATAATAAATCTTTTGCTATTCCAGTGGGAAAAACTAATTATTTACATTTACAAGTATTTTATACTAGGTTTTTCATATTTATGACAGTATCAGAAATGTGCATTAAGGATGGTCATTGTGTCTATCAACATTTCTGCAACCATACATAATTAGCAATTAAAACATGTGCAGAAAAGAGAAGAGAGAAAGCCAAATCAAGCTAAAGTTTAATTACAGAGTTAAAAGACAAATTACTTTTAAGCTGTGGAAATAGCTAACACATTTTTACATTTCCAGAATTGTTTACAAATTCATAATCAGCTGTCATAACATTTCAAGCAGCAGTTCTGAAACCATTTATGTTATCTATGCTATGTTGAAAAATAAAAAATAACTATTCTTCATTTAAGGTAATAAGTACATTAGTCTGTAATGCCAGAGCATTACGAAATAACATTTAAACACATCTGACCTGCATTTTAAAAGAAGTTTCAGAACCACAACTACAATTTGCAGTCACAAAATTAAATAAACAAAGTGCCTAATGCCACGGCCTTTTTGATAACTTTATATTTAAAAAAAAGAAAAACATTTGCTAAACATAATTAGAACAAATAGTCATATACATGTTTTAACATGTTTGTACACTTCGTTTAAATAAATAGTTCATTCATTCATCATTTAAAATTATTTTTTTAAAGAATCACATGGGAGGAAAGGGGGATAATTTTGTGTTTAAGTCTTCTACAGTCAAATGAATCATTCCCATTACATATATTTTCATTGTGATGCAGAATTTTAGTCACTGAATATCATATCTTCAGCATTTTTATGGTAACAAAATTTATTCCTTATATTCTTGAAGATAATATCAAATATGCTAAATGCAGTATTTTAATGCCAATTCATTTTTCACTAACTGCAATTAAAAACAACTCTACTTACGTTGAAGTATACATGAGACTTTCTTAATTCCAAAATATTCCATTAAATAGCATATATGTCTTCATTATATGCATAATTATTTTTAAATCTACAATAATGACATATATTTTCTGCTACAAGTACAAAGCAACTATAACAATTCCAGATGATGATCATAATTAGTTCCACTGCATGATGTGTAATGTTCAAATCCAAACTTTATGAATCACTTAGCTAGAAGTCTTTCTTGATAGGCCAGTGGCATTAGGCATCCAAGGAAAGAAAGAAAAATTGAACAGTACCTTATAACTTACATCCAATTGAATGCAAGTTGGCCAGGAAGTCCATGGAGAAGCTTGTCCATCTTTCTTCCGTAACATTTGGTTTGTTCTTATTTGGTTTTTATTTGAGAAGCACTTACCATTAATTTTTGGTGATGTGCCATCCTTTTTATTATTAAACATTACGCAAAATAACAGCTCGAGAACTTGGAAGCAAACTGCATTTTTAGGTACATTTCAACATAAAATTTTATACACATAGTATTTGCTTTCAAGCAAATTGTAATAAAGTTTCACTCAGGAAAAAAACTGCATAATTAAAACAATAACAACATAATTTCAATTTATTTGACCTAAAAATAAAATTAGAAGAAAATAGAATAGATAATTTATATCTAGAACATTTGTACAAGTTTCGAAATATTTTGTTATAAAGTCATATATAACAATAGCCAACAATAATATGGCCTCATAATTCATATTTGCCTTGATGAAAAGTTAAAATGCCTAGAGCATAAATTCATTAGACAAAAATTGTCATGCAGCTGAGCTTTTAACATTTTTAAGATGCAGAAATGAATTGCAGTATGATTAAAATATATAGCTATTTCTTAACTTTCAGCTGATGTAAGAGCTGTACTGTCACTTGTAATATCAGCTGTTTCATTTGTTTCACACGCATTATTACATAAAGCACCACTATCATCACTGAGATCATTTAAATTTTCGCTGCAAACAGGTGTGGAATCTTTGACATTCTGTGAACTTTCACTATACACAGGTGCAGAATCATTTACGTCACTTACAATTTCGCTACCTGTGGATGTAAAATTCTGTACACTGTTTAAATTCTCTTCACATACAGATGCACAATCCTCAGTATGATTTTCAGTCACTAAATTTTCAGTTACTACAGGATTAGCTGAAACCGAATTTTCATTTAAATTGTCTAATACACTTGGAGTACTTTTCTGTATATCACATTCTGTTTCTGGTATTGATTCTCCTGGTTTAGTTTCAGAAGTTTCCATTTCTATTGAAGTATTAGCTTCAATAGGGACATTATCAAGTATGTTTGTTTGAGTATTTTCTTGATTTTCTTGTACATTAGATATAGGCTGCTGGGCAGCATGTGACTGTTCATAACTCTGGAATTTCATTTCTATTTCATTGCGCTTCTGTTGTTGAAATTCTCTCTCTTCAGAAAGTGTGCGTCCCCACCTTGAGCGTTTTCGAGACTCTCTGTCCCTCTCTTTTTTAGAAACAGATGAATTATGTTCTTGGTAGACATCATTTACCGACTCATTAATATTATCACAAGACTTTTCACCACTAGAATCAACTTGGTTTTCTGGTTTGGGTTTTTCACTTTCCTTATTCTCAAAATCACTTTTTTGTGTTTGTTTCTCATCCACATTTTCACCTTTCCCTTGTTTTCGGCTGTACTGTGGTATATCAATTTTTTTATCTCTTTGATAACATTTTAACTTCTGCATATCATCCATCAAGTTTTTATTGTTGTTTCGAGGCTTTGGCTTTGGTTTTTCAGAATAATCATTCTTGTCAAAACCTGGCTGCAAAGGCATATCCCGAGACTCATCTTTGAAAGATCGATCTGAATGACCACGCTGATCCCGATTCCAACGATCTCTATCTTCCCGCCTTCCCTCATCTCTCTCTCGAGTCATACGCCGGCCGTCTGATTCTAAATCATCTGATGTTATCCAGGATTCTCGTTTCCAATCATCATGATACCTTCTCTCTCTATCCCTCTCAAAAGGTGGGCCATCAAAATCCCGAGGATACCAATCACGGCCATCATGAGAAGGATGCATATTATCACCTCTGTGAGGGCCACCAGGAATTCTAGGACCACGTGGACCATGATGCATTTGAAATTCCATCTCCATCCTTGGATGCATATTAGGACCAAGGCCTCTTGGTCCACCCATTCTCATAGGAAAGGGAGCACCCATATGCATACCTCTTGGAAATCTAGGACCTTGCATTGGTCCCGGAGGTCCTCTCATTCGATGCATATTCATAGGCATTCTTGGGAATTCTACTGGGCTCTGAAATCTTGGTCCCATAGACATATCACTTCGGGGGAAATCTTGATCCATGGAAGATTCATCATCTATACTCATTACCATGTCTTGCATCATTTTATCATGATGTCCAGGCGAAGCATTTCGGTTACCCAGTATGTCCATTTCTCCTGCTTTTCTTTCTAATATGCCTGGATCCCTATTTTTAATGTTATGCATGTCTTTCATAGGTGGTGGATTTGAAGCAGAAACTGTTGATGGGGCTTCATGAAAAGGAGGTCTATTTCCAAACATATGAAGACCCATGCCAGGCTGTGGTGGAGGTACAGGTCTTGCTGCTGCAGAGTTTGCAGAATGGCTAGAATCAGCATCAGTATATGGGGAGCCACACGGTTTCTGCATCCACTGAAACTGAGTATTGGGTGCAGCATTATGTCCTGGAGCTGGAGGCCGGATTCCAGGTGGTGGGAAATTGAATCCCACATTTGGGGGAGGATAAGGAATAGGTGTGACTGCAGTAGACACTGGTGGAGGCACTGAAAGCATAGGCCGACTAGCATTATGCAGACCTAGGATTGGATTGAAGTGACCTGGTTGAGTAGATACCATAGGCACAGATGCACTAGATACAGGACCAGGTACAGACATATGGATAGTATTTGGTGAAGATACGCTTGTACCATCTTCTTCTGTTGGAGTGGCATCACCTGCAGCAGAGGTCACTGGTACTGTAGCTGAAGTCACTGGCACCATAGGAGACCCAATAGCAGGTTCTGTATGTGGTGTGCTTTTAAGGTTTTGCAAAGCATTTGCAACTGGAGGAACAGTTCGAGGAACCATTTGAGGGACTCCACCAACAATTGGCAAAGGTTGGCTACTTAAAATATTCTGTGACTGCTGTTGAACCATTAGCATAGGATTTGGAGGTGGAATCCCCATTGGCATTTGCATTACCATTGCTTGAGGTGGAAGCAGACCTATAATAAAATTTATATATAACAAGCTTAATTTCAATACTAAAAATATTTCAAATAATTTACATGCACTAAACATGGAAAAAACATAAAATTAATACAAAAGTAATTTCAAACTATATACCTGGTAAATGTAAGCCAAACTGAGGCTGCATGAGATGAGGCAAAACCATTGGTAAACTGACAGATGTTGGTGGCATAATTGGTGGAGGTACCATATTTGGTGGCATCTGAATATCATTATAGGAGGGTACTGGAGCTTCAGGACCAGTTTTACTAGCAGAACCATACGACTGCTTCTCCTCCTCTGGCTGTTTTCTTAAAGCTATTTTTTAAAAGGAATAAAATCATCATTTTCATAAAATTATAAAAATAACATTGTACTATAAATCCCCAAGAAAGGGCTTTTCAGTTAAGTAATATTTATTACAATAATACTAAACATTAAAAAAAATCATTAGTGCAAGGTTTTTGAAATACAATACACATATACTATTGTATTTCAAAACAATGTATTTTGTATTTAGTATTTACTTTTCATTAAATTATAATTTTACAATACTTATTACTTTTACTTTTTGGCCACTAATTATTGTTGTTAATTTTCATGAGAGTTTCATGAGTTGTAAATAGTTTCATGAGAGTGGCAGCAGGGCAATTCATAGAATTAGAAAAATATGTTTCTGTAGTTAGTTAGGCTTATTGAAGATTAATTATATGTTATATACCTGAGTGATGTTTAATTAAATAAATGAATACTTTAGAATATAGTAGTCTCTTTAGAGTCCGTGATATGCCGGTAGCGTATTAGTTTGACGCGTAAGCGAACATATACACTAAAATGCCCTTTAAGAAGTAGCGGGGATTAAAAAAGAAAGGAGAGAGAGAAATTTATTTTATAAGAAATATTTTAAATATAGCAGATTACTGCCTGTAATTTACACAGAAATTGGTATCAATAATTTTTTTTAAAATTTTAATATGTAATCTAGTTTTCCCAAACATAATTTTATATTTCACTGATGCAGCAAATGCACTGAACTAAGACGAAAAGTTTCTTCTGCAGTGAAAAAAGCGACCAGAAAAAAAAAAAGAGAGGAAGTATTGTAATCGCGAAAAGTTTCAGGCAGCATATTTCAACGAAAATATCCATTTTGACCGCAATCGAATGCAATCTAACGATGTTTTTGTGTGATATCTGTACGTAAAGACAGAATAAAAGACTCGTTTCCTGAAAAAAAAATTACAAAATTGCTTTAAAATTAATTCTCGAGAATTTTTTGTGGCATCTGTACAAACTTACGTACGTATCTTGCATGACTCAAAAACAAGTAGCCTCAGAACGTTGAAATTTTGTATATAGGACTGCTATAACATGTAGATGTGCACCTCGTATTTTGGTTACCCGGCTCAGTGATCTCAATTTCTTTATGATTGTTTACATTTGAAACAGCAGACTTGTGGATTTGTAGCCAATCTATTGGGTTGGAGGGGAAAGTTCTGTCGTATTTTAAAGAAAATACTTGAATTCATTTATAAAAATATGTGTTTAATATTAATCAATTATATATGCTCCGTTATTTGTTACAACCTGTTGCCATCTTCCAGGTAACCTGTAAATTCCTGTTTTGTAGAAGTTCTCATCCATGGAGTTAAAATAGTCAGCAACTGCCTTAGAAACACTTTCAAAAGACTTGAATTTTTTTCCCGTTAGATAATTTTGCAGAGATCTGAACAGGTAATAATCAGAGGGTGCAATGTCAGGTGAATACGGGGGGTGACTAAGGATTTCCCATCCTAACGCATTCAGTTTTTGTAGTGTCACCACTGCAGTATGCGGGCGAGCATTATCGTGATGGAACACTATTCCTTTTCTGGACGCTAATGCTGGCCTTTTTTCTTTGATAGCTGCATTCAATTTATCCAGCTGATTGCAGTACAGATCCGCGTTGATGTTTTTTCCCTGTTTCAGCAACTCGTAATACACTGGACCTTTCCTGTCCCACCACAAACAAAGCAGTACTTTTCGTTGATGGATACTTGGTTTTGGAACTGTTGCTGATGATGTTCCTGGTTTGCAGTAAGATTTTTTTTCTTTTAATATTCTCGTAAAGAATCCACTTTTCATCTCCAGTAACCAGCCTGTCCAAAAACGGCTCCACATTGTGTCTAATCAGATGTGATGAACATATTCTTACACGATCAGACAAATTCTTTTCCGTTAATTCATGTGGAACCCAAACACTTTGTTTTAACACAAACCCAAGAGATTTAATGTGATCTCCAACAGTTGTATGATGAATGCCAAACTCTTCTGCAATTTCTCGACTTGTTAAATGTGGATTATTTTCCAACATGGATCGCAAAACATCATTATCGATCTTGGATGGTCGTCCAGATCGAACACTTTCTTTGAGGCTCAGGTCCCCGGAACGAAATTTGCTAAACCATCTTTGACAAGTACGAACATTTACAATATCTTTTCCAAATACCGCACATAAATTTTTACATGCAACAGATGCCTTGCTTCCTTTTTGGAATTCATATAAAATGCAGTGTCGTAAATGCACTTTATCTACCAACATGTTTTTCCCTTTAAATATTACAAGTAAATGCTGGTAAAAAAGGGCACCTTTTATATTATACAGCAGCTAAAAAAAAAAAAAAAAAAAAAAAAAAAAAAAAAAATCTGATTGACTCACTAGCCAGATGTTTTTTTTTATTTACAAGAAAAATCACCTGCCTGTTTAAAATACACAGAACTTTCCCTCCAAGAAAAACTTAGCTTTGCAACAACAAAGATAACGCCTTTATTTATTATTACCAATTAAATCACACTTAATACTTTCTGGAATCTTTGCTTAATACTTTCTGGAATCTTTTCGAGGAAATAAGTGTTTAAGATTTGCTTCGTAATTTTTTATATATTTGTAATATTTTGAGTTTTTATGTATTTTTGCCTTCTCGCAACGTGAGAACTGAATTAATTGAATGAGAAATACTCAATCGTCTGTGGAAAACTGTTTATTTTTTGTTTTGTTTGCGTAATTTCTTTTATACATCATTCTAGATTTATTATAGTAATTGAATAGAAAATGTGGCAACAATTAGATAATTCTTCAAATGATATAAATTTTGTGCATTCTGATTTATAATACAAACGAAATAAAATGCTGTTAAGTGAACCTAGTGCCAGAGTGTTGTTATGGTAAACCAATATAATGAATTTTATGAGTGCATTTATTCTATTGTGGTTTATGTGCTATCGAGGAAGTAGATTTAATTGAATCCAATACGTTTAAATGAAATGCAAGAAAAAATGCGTACAATTTAATATTCTGTGCAAGGAAGTCGTGGTGTACACATCAGATTTTTAATTAAGCTATTATATATATTGCATAAGATACAATAATGCGTCTTCTTAATTTGAAGTCTTCCCAGATTTTTTGGCTAATTTATATCAATTTCCCTCTCTTAAACATCTTTTCTAGCAACTACAAACCTGTTTCAATACACAAACCAATGCTCCCATTAGTTTCTGTGTGTTTTATCTCCTAACTTGTCAATCTCTTAACAGTGTACCTAATGATCTAATGTATTACTTGATCTGGTAAAAGTTAAATAATCCAAAACCTTTGACAGACAAAGCAAATTAATGCTATGTCTGAAAATAACTACAAAGTCACATAAATATTTAAATAAACCTCTTATTTAAAAAGAACTTGCAACATTCTTATGTTGACAAAATCAACTACAGCTTGTGGTGATGCAATTAAACAGGGACAGTCAAATTCAAACTAAAAATGTGGACTAGTAGTCAAACACTACACAATTTAAACTTAATCTAAGGTGACTCAGTAACTCTATCATAGTAACAAATTCAAATGTTAGCAGCGATAACACAAAGATGAATAATTACAAATTATCAGAGCTGGCAGGAACTAAGGCAACATCCAAGTGGAGGACAAAACCACACTGTCTTTACAATCCAAAAACCTCAGTTCAAAAACTATCCGATTTGCATTATGGTGAGGAAATGGAAAAGGGAAGTTAAGGCTAAAATTATGAACAACTGGTTAATTTGCATAATAATAACTGTACAAATCTTTTAAGAATAAATTTCTTCCTCTTTATGTACTCAGTTTCTTTCTTCAGTAAGCTTCCTCTTTACTTTAGAATTTTTGAAATTAAAATTTCTATTATTCTAAAAAAAATGCATTTAGAATGAATATTAAATGATATATGGTAAGGGCTGGTTTTAGACCCTATGAGGCAGAATGTTTAGAATTTAGTGACACACCGAACAATAAAATCTAGAAATGGCACTACTTTTAGAATTTAGGACAGGCGCTAAGAGCATAATTTTGGAGGGCACTAGGCAGCATAATTTAGGAAGGCACTGGGCAACATAATTTAGGAAGGCACTAGGCAGCAGAATTTAGGATCCACAGAGATTGATTGCATCAAGTGGGAAAATGCCCAATGTATGATCCATTGAAACATATAAGCAAACGTGCGCTTATCGCGGAGGCCGGCAGTGTCTTACATGAGCGTCTGTCCAGGGCCGGGGGCTTTTTTGCTATTTAAATCCATGAAATTTCCGAAGTATCAACGCATTGTTTAATAATGTTCTATAGAGTAATATTTAAACGGCTTATGCTTTATAGATATTTTTATATATACTTTAATTACCTTATTTCTTGTTTAAATTCATATTTTACACATTTTATGACTTTTAACATTATACATCTGAAAACTAAATATATTACTTAAAATTCTCTTTTCGTATGAAAAATTTGAAAACAGGGATCTACACACAGTCCTACATTACATTCCTTGCACTCGTAATAACTCATGTGCCATGTTGGAGGATTTTCCCGGGAATGTGAACAAATGAAGCATCGTCGTCTCATTTCATTATCAGTCTCTTCTGAACAAAGTTTTGGAAAATGTCTTTCAGTTAATCTTTCAGAATCAATATCAGAATTTCAGAATGAATATCTGAAACATTTTGCATCATTTCTGCTATTTAATGCTCCGTTAAACATTTTCGACGCTTCGACATTGCAACAGTAAAAAGAGAAAGAATTCACGTCTAACAAGATCTAATTATTTTCTAAAAACTAAACTGCAAACCGAAATACCCAACGTTTTAGTGAAAATAAAACTTCTCTACTTACAATAAACAACTACCATGTGCGAATTTAAAGAGACGTCATAAATCACACCATTCGGAAACATTTATTTCCCCTTTTGTTTATATAATCAAAAACACGTGTATGTGAGTCATGCTTCTCTCATTTCGAGTAGAAGGTCTAATGTACATGTATCTGAAACCATATGGACATACAATGCAGCTTGTGGCAGAAATTATAGTTTTTAAAACGTTCCAGGACACTGGCACAAATACGCGACAGTCGGGGCTAAACGGGAAAACGCTCTGGCACACCTGCGTGTCGGCCGGGAAGTGATTGTGTTCGTTGCTGGCACGTAGACGTGACAGTCGGCGCGAAGGGGTTAATAGAAAAGTTCTTTTTTTATAAATGCCCTATCCATGTGAAAAGATTTGAAACATTTTTGATATTTTCTGTACTTCTGTCTAGTGAAAAGTTGATAAAATAAAAAGATAAACATGTTAAGAAAAAGACTTCTTATATCAGAAGTGCAACAATCAAATATTATATTTTCATTGTCCTTCCAAACATTCTCCAAAATATAAGAAATTCATCACAAACTTGCTGTAAAAAAGGGAAATGGCAGTATTATCAGTAAACAATTTCATTTCTCTGTGCTCTGTAGTAGCAACAAAATATGAATTATAGTAATAAAGTAATGTGATCTTTCATGAAAGTGGATTTAGTTTTCAGTAATTTTTAACTTTAAGGTTTTTTTTTGGGGGGGGGAGTCCTATATAGAAGTTTATTATTATTATTATTATTTATTTATTTATTTATTTTTTTTATTTTAAGAAATCTCAAAAGTACAGTTGAAAGAAATCGTTCCACGGGAATGAGTGGTTTGGTTGAGTTGATTCCAGCATTCCCCCACCTCCTTGTTCAATTCTTTCTGCTTTTCTCTATCTTTGCACACCACTCGATACAACAAGTTCTGAGAGCATTTATCAAGGTCATTTTGTTAGTGAATGAATGATTTGGATCTGATCCCTTAAAGAAGCAGTTTTATCCCTAGTTTAAATCAACTGTTGATAGCACTTCTCATCACCAATGTTTTCGTTTCTTCTTAACATTGCTTTATTTTAAATAAAATTGAATTATGAAATACATTTTAAAGAAAATAACATAAAATTTGCTCACAAAATTCCATATTGAATCCAACTGCCACTTCAGGGTGGGTTACTGTATTTCGAGACAATTTATGAGAAATACTGTAAAATTTTATATGAAAAGCGATTTGTTTTATTCTAACACTTGCAATACACAAAATTATCCAAAACAGACAAGTGAGATTATATTACCTGTTAATACTTTTATGATATATATTATTATAAAAATATTAACAACTTAAAAAAAGCATCAAGTATGCATTGACACATGTTGATTTATCACAAAATTTTGTTTCTAAAATACCATTTCTAAAAACTTGCCAATATGAAACTGCAGATCCAAGTAGCATTGCAGATGATATTGTTTCGAATTTTGTATATATGTAAATAATTTGAGGGAAATACATGTGAAATTATGGTATCTTTTGTATAATTTGCCAAAAAAGTATTACAGCAGCAAGTCTATTTAAAATTGAGGTAAACACAGCTATCTCGCTAAATTGGCGAGAAATCGTCAAATTTGATCACCGTTTGGTCCAGTTCCTGTATAACTGTAATTGATGTGTGTAAATACATATCTAACCCTTATATTTACCTAACATTTACCCTATTCCAAGAACTGGATTTCTCAGTGGTCGAAAAAAACTAATAAGACTCCCCTCTTTCAATGTGCTTTGCATTGTGTTATTATAGGTAGTTTGAAATGGTAACTATTGATTATGCTCTGTTATACTGAGAAGAGATGTGAAAGTACTTTTTTGAAAAGTTCCAGAACTGTAAAGTGTTTCTTTCGGTAAAATAAATTTTATTCCACTATCATCGGTTCTGTGTGCATCCAATCAATTACGAACCTTTACCATAACAAAAATATCGAAATGAGAATTTTTTAAATTAATAAAAGTGCACTTTTCCCATGGAACATTTAAGAAATGTTGCAATAAAAAAAAAAAATTCAAAGTATGACAAATGAACATTTATTCATTGAATCAATGCTAATATTTCATATTTTAAAAATTTTTTTATACACCATGAATCAATCATTACTATACTTATTTCAGAGCTAAGTTGGGAAAATTTTATATATAAGAAAGAAAGAAAAATGAAGCACACAAATTTAAGTATTTACCCCTTAAATGTTCTGGCAGAGAGTCTTCATCAATAAATCCTCCTTCTTCAAGTAAATCCAAAGCTTCAGCATCTTCGGGAATCTTCTCATATGGTACATAGCTTACACCCAAATCTACTTCCCAGAAATCTTTATACTCTTTGCCTTTAACACCTTTACCTGGAGCCCAAGCAATCTTCAAGAAAACATTTTGAGCACAATTACTTACATACATGATTTTTTACAGCTCTAATATTTTTTATTAAATAAGCAATAAATTATAATTTTCTGCATTTATATCAAAATGTATTCAAACTTCCTAATACACCTGTATCAGCACAATGTTTTTAATCAACACAAAAACCCATTAAAACAACCATAAAAAAATTTAAAACTCATCAGTAAACTTGGTTTTAGAATTGAGTTCCCGAAAAAACTTTTTTTTTTCTTTTGTCTGCTTTGAAAAATATGCAAAAACTAGTTCTATTATTAGAAAATGTGTTTAGTATAAGCTTGCAGTAAAACACCTATAATTTGGCCTAATTTTACAGCAAGCGCTACTTAACATGATCCCAGTTAATGCTATCAATCTAATATTGTCATCGAACTGTCGAAGTCCTACCCATTTGTATAAAACAAAAGCATGTAAAATACATTGCTTATTTTAATCAACATTACTGTAAAAGTTATCAAAATATTATACAATAAATTTTTTAAGCTGAAATAATGCCATCAAATAAAAGATAAAATTGCTGAATAAGATCAAAATAGCATAAAGAGATTGACAATATGTAGCCAAGTAAGGGATAACACACTGACTAGTTTGTAAAAAAATCACTGTCAGGCCATGAACGCTGCTATATGATGTACCTTCCTGATAGTAAGAGTTTAGAGCGTCTAGAATATTTTGAGACATTCGAGGAAAATCTCTCCTCAAGAATAAAGTATCTATAAAAAAATAATAAAAAATTCCCCCTCCCTCCCAAATATTTTTTCTGTAGTGAGAAACAGTTGACACTTTTTTTTTTTTTAAATTGTTGACCTAATTTTTTGCAGTGTGTAAAAGAAAAATGGAAGAATATTTTTCAAGTGAATCACATAGCAGAGAAAAAGAAACCTATTGAGAACAGCCAAAATTTTTCAGAAAAATATTTAAAAACAGAATTAATTATATTGTCAGATTCTGGTTTGGATGCTGATAAATGAAGTGACAACAAATGTGATGTAGATTTTACAAGAACTAGTTGTTTAGAAAGAAAGTAAAAATGATGCCGAAGAAAGCACAATTCAGTTTAATGAATGGAATAAATTTAGCTATAAGCAAAAATCTTTTTCATTTCTTTCTTTCAAAATTCAACTCCCAAATACCTACTTTACCTTGTAAGTACACAAATAAATGTCATATGAATACAGATGATGCAACATGATCAGAATTTTTGACGTCACCCGTAGTGGCCAATGCATTAAGTCACCAAATACCTGAATTTTGATTTGAAGCATCAAATTAAGAGTCTCATCTAACGAAAACAATAAAGAACTGTTCTAAGCATGTTAACTTTTAATAAATGATGAAAGAAAGGAAAGAAATTGAACATTTAAATCTCCAACTAACAAAAATTGTGAGGAATTTAATGCTTGGGTGATTACTGATGAAAAAACAGAAGTGGCAGTATCAGTGACAGATAAAGACTCTCACTTTCTGAAACAAACTTTTGCAATGGTTCCAGATAATTAACTATTAATGACCGTTTTGAGAATTAGAATACTGTGAAAATAAGTATTTATATGTTTCTAGTTATATTAAATAAAAGTAAATTGATATTTGATGCCTATTTTTCTCATCACTTAATGTTGTCAAAATAATTATGGATAAATACACACTAAACGGTATATACTGTGTACAGAAATGCTACATTCTATCACCTTATGCTAACATTCTAAGTTTACATACGAAAAGTTTAAAATTCTGAACTTCAGTATCCAATTCAATGCCAAAAACAAATTCAATGAACATAATTTATGTAAATCCCATCTTATTCTGTTCAATGCCTGTATGATCCATAAAAAGGGGGTAATAAGCATTAACTACTACCAGGAACTTCTTAGCACTTGGATATGCTATAAATATCTCATACAATATCAACCTTTTAAAAAACAAAAATTTCCACATATTCAAAGATTATTTCATGAGCCATAACTCAAGGGAAAAATGCAATAAATATAATTTTCAAATAACAGCATAAGCCTATACTACTCACGTCTAATTATACAGTCAAAAGTCGTTAATCTGGACTCGTCGGGACTTCGGTGATTCCGGATTATCTATCATCAGTTTAAATCTGGTAAGATGGCATGCAGAAATTATAAAATTAAAAATATGAAACCGTAATTTATGAAATAAAGAACAATTATGATCTAAAGGATATCAAAATTTACAAAAAAAAAGAGGCTTAATATTTATTTGTTTACTTTATTAAACATTTCTTTCAATATAAGTTGTTTAAGTTGCTTCATTTTTTATGTGATAATACATTTTCTTTAATTCTATAAACACATAATTTCTTGTTCAGTTACAAAGTTCCGCTGTTCAAGTCCTATATTTGTTGTGACGAGAATACCGACTAATTTGTCAATCGAAATTTTTTCGTTTTCAATAACCTCTGTTACTTTCTTCGCTATCGGAAGCGAATTATAATGACGAGGAATTTGATTTAAATCATATCAAAGACGGAGTACATCGAGATGAAATAATACATTTAGTAAGGAATTATTAGCCAAATAAAATAAAAAAAACATCTGCCCTGAAGATAAGGATAGTGCTGACAGATCAACTTCCAATTCATTGCACCGCCCGCACCGTTAAAGATAAACAAAATTTATATAAACAAACGTTAAAGTTTAGATAAACAAAGGATATGCCTTTATCCATTTTTTGCTGCAATTCCACTTTTTGTTTAATGGACTTTGAAACATACTTTCGCTTTGTAGATCCTTTACATATTAGTAAATATGTATCAGAAATTCTATTTGACATAATCAAAAGTTCAAGCTTACTTTTATAAAATTGTTCTAACAGTCTGCAAAAAATAATAAGCCGAATCCAATTTGAAGATTAAGGAACAACGCAATATGCAACAGTAACTGAATTAGATAATTTTAGCTTAGCTTATATCGTCCGTTATACATTAAACGTGCATTCATAAACGTATTTTGTGCACGCGCACACGCATATTCGCAGCCGTATGACGCATGTGCAGAAAGTTTGTAGCTTTGAGGTCCGCATTATAGATCATTCCGGATTATGGGTGTCCAAATTAACGACTTTTGACTGTATATTTCTTAGTATTGCATTGTAAATATGATATTCATCAATTGTAAATTTAAAATTTGTCTAAAAACTTATTTTATGTATTCTTTTCTTACAATTAGCTGAATTATTACAGAACAAAACTTTAGCAATTCAGTTACATATGCCATATAATATCAACAACAATTCAACTGTTTTTCAACAAACAGTTGTTATTAAAAATTAGTTGAAATCAAAGCTCTAGATTTTATAACAACAATATAATTTAAAACTATCAAATAATTTAAACTGTGGTTTATAACATTTGTGACATTCTTGTCTTTTAATGCTTTATGTAATATACAAGTAAGGATTGCTTTCATGAATTACTATTAACTTGCCTCAAGGAATAAAAATTTTAATGCAGTTTGTCTACACTGGAATGTGCTCCAGATCATTAAGCAGGTTCGACTGCACTGATAATATCACGGAACAAATTTTTATGATAATTTCAAATATATTTGAGACATTTTTTAAAATACATTCAAACTTAGCAATTTTAATTCTAAAGTTACATATTACTATAAATTCACAATAAGTAAATTTTTGTTATGGAACTTATCCAAAATTCTGCAATTAAAATTAATCAAAGCAAAAATCTAAAATAATGTAATCATTATATTAAAAACCTTTATACTACTGCCATGCAATTTAAGATTTTTCAATTTCTGTAAAGCCCTGTAGCCATCTTGCCGCCTATCCATCACAACATAGGCACAGCCTCTTGGTGGAATCATCTATTAAAAAAGTGAAATTATATGGTAACATAAAATAAATAATTTTTTTCATTTAATCATTTAGTTTTAAACATGCACAAATAGAACAGGATTGTTAAACCAAAGAATACAACTGCAAACCAAATAATTCAGTCATGAAATATAACTTACGTCTATGCTTAAAATAGTACCATAGGGACCAAATGTGTCGCTAATATCTACTTCAGAGCAAGACTTCGGAACATGACCAAGCCATAAAGTTGTGCTGCAAACTATAAATTTTTTTATTAAAAATAGGTTATTAATGAATTACACAATGAATATCCCTTTTATCAAATGATATATATATATATTACTATAATAAATCAGTACAAAGATTTACCTGTCCTGCACTAAAAAACATTTATAATTTATTTCTGAGCTTATCTCATCAAAAGAAGCTGCAGTAACTTTTTATGCTTTTACTATTATATTCACAAACTAATTTTTCAGCTTTGCATGGAGTTAATGTGAAATAATCTGAATATTTTATGAACTGCACAACAAATCCAAATATATTTGCTCTACCATGTATGAATTTAAAATGTGGAAATGTGAAGAACTGTTACCAATACCATAACTGCTAACTTTGAAATAAATATTAAAAAAAAGGGGGGGCGGAGACTTAGTGAAAACCAGGAGAAACCTATTTTCATGCTGCAATGGGATGGGATTTCAAGAACTCCAAAATGACTTAAATTTATTTTATAACCCATGTTTCAGTTTATTGAACTTACAATGTAATTCTAATGTAAAAATATTACAATTTAACTAAATATTCTAAATTTTATGTTTTTTTAGCTAATTTCAATTTGCAGTTTTCTTTAACTTTTATTACAGTTGTGTGGATAAACTAAGTAATGTATTGCTTAATGATGTAAAACAAAATTAATACATTAACTAATTGGCTGAATGTTTTCATCTGTTCGACAAATAAAAACAATCCAGGTCAATGAAATTTAATAAGAAAATCTTTGCTAAACATCACTAGGAATGGAAGATGGAATATGCTCAATTTCAGTTTTATCAAGAAATGATAATGTTGCTGCCATAACTTGTTTAAGAATACGTCGACATAATTTTCTTCATAACATTTTCTTTTTCTCTGACACTTACAGATTAGCATTTTTTGAAGCTGTATTTGAGAAAAAGAGATAATTCATAATCTATCCTTATTTTCCTCATTGTCTAAATATCCATTACATTGTTGCTACCATAACTTACTTAAGAATATGGCAACATAATTTTCTTCACATTTTCTTTTTCTCTGACACTTAGAAATTAACACTTTTTTGAAGCTGCATTTGAAAGAGAGAGATAATTTAAAATCTGTCCTCATTTTCATCATTGTCTAAATATCCATTTACATTCAGCATTACTGTAGAGAATATAATCACATATGTTAGTGCACTATAAGAAAGCTTTGGATAATTTTCTTCACTGTAGACATTTCAGAGTTCTGAGAACAGAATTGCAAAATTTCATGAAAGGGAGTTGTCTGGAATTCACAAAATTCTATTAAGAGTTTTACCAATGACACAGTTCTGTCTAACAGCTATAGGTGAAAGGATGAAGCTGCATCAGGAATGATAAACAGAAAACCAGGAATTCTGTCATCTGAGAGAGACGAAAAACCCTAAGAGTCAGCAATTATACTATACTAAGCATAAAGACTTAGGACAGTGAGTTATGTACATTAAGAAAATTTAGCAGATTACAGGCCAGATCTTTTTTAATTTCATTTATATCCCCCCCCGGTTCTAGTTCTTACATAAAAATTGGATTGTTTGCATATAAATAATTCATCAAAACACACCCATACCTTTAAAAAATAATTATATTTATTAAATACAATTATATGAATGAAAATAATGCCAATACTCTAAAGCGAAAAAAATCAAGTCAAGAAAGTAAAGAAATATGGTTAAAACATGCCAAAACATATTGTATTTAAAGAACTGGTACAACTATCACAAAACTGGTGTTTTGAAAAAATGAATGGATGAATGGTTAAGACCACTATAGTTCTGCTGGCTGGCATGGGCATTTGGGGAAGGAGGTTCCATGTGTAGCATAAATATCAGTCAGATTCCTTTAGAAATCCTCCACAAAAGCAGTCCTTCCCTAAGGCACATAGCTGTGAAATGTTTTGCTGTCAACAACATACGCTTTAACCCCGGCCAGGGTTTTTGCTAAGAAAGCACAAATTTCCCAAAACTACTATGAGAACAAATTATTTTTTGATTTTAATGTAAAAACTCTCCTGGTATTTCATACCTGGATTTGTTTTCTTTTGACATATTGCTTTAATTTCTTTGAAATATTTTAATATGCATGTATACTATGGAATAAGGAAGGATTTATCCAAAACAAAAAACTTGCAGAGATTCCCAACTTACTGTAAAGATAATGCCAATGAGTAAAGAGGAAATGTTAAATAATTTCAGTAGTAAAAAAATTTGCTTCTTCAATTAAATTATGTTATGCACTTAGTATATTTTGTTAGAAAGTTTATTGCATTTGTGCATACCAGAAAACTGTCAATAAATATGCTAAATATTCTGAAAATCGAAATTTTATTTGTTTACATGCAAAAATGAATGCAGATTACAGGCATCTGCAGATTAAAGCAGTCAAAGATTTTAATTACTGTGACAAAAAATATATTCCATTTGATTAAATGAAAATGAAGCAAAAAGGATATAAGCTCATAATGATTTCCTAATGAAAATATAAAGCAGGTAACCCTCATGAGCTCTGCCATATTCCAAAAATTATAATCATAACATAATGAATATTCACATGCCCCCCCTTTTTTTGCTACTTTGTATTACGGATTAAGCATTCCACAACCTAGCAAGTTTCAATCTGGAAAATTTAATGCCTCAGATCTATTCAAGATTTTTATCTATTTAATATTTATATTGCATACATGTTTAATACATCAGCTAGTTTACATGTAAAAAAATGACTTCATCCTCTCTCTTAATTTTATCACACGAAAGAATAAAATGAACATTTTCTCAATACAAAATGAGAGCAAAGAGGATTAAAATAATTTTTATTATTTCTCATTCCACAACATATTATATAAATGCATGAATTTAACACATAAAGGCTTACATTATTTAGAGATACTAACCACTGACACAGCCCTTTTTGATAGGTGGAATGCCCTTTCTCCTCCTTTCACGTTCACGTTCTCTCTCCCGCTCTTTTTCTCTAATTCTTTCTCTCTCTCTTGAGCGTGAACGATTTTTACGAGAATGTGATCTAGATCTGGATCTCTTCCTCCTAGGAGACCTTGAACGACTTCTATGCCTACCACTCCTGCAAGCATAAAATGTAAAACATTGATTTCAGAAATAACTTCAAATAATTCAGACAAGAAGACTATCATTATAAAAAGTGAGACAGATTAAAAATATGTTACAAGCATCAATCAATTAATGAATGGTGAAATCTGCAATATGGTTCTAAATCCAATCCTGTCAGACATACCAAGATGTTTCAAAAAGTTGGACGCTTTTGAATATACTTTCAGGATACTTCAAAGAATTTAGGTGTTCAAAGAAAAAACACTTAGACGTGTACACCAGCAAATACCATCAATTGAGCTTGTGGTTAACAGAAAAGACAAAAACGATATCATTGCAGATTAAAGTGAAGAGCGACTATATGGTTGTATAAATTTAAATTACGTTATAGAACATCATATCGTATATCATATATAAATGCAGAATCCTATGATTTTCTCATTCGAATTATTTGAAGATTCAGGAGTTTATCCAGTGATGTATGTGGATGTTACCTAAAGATATTTTTTTTTCCCCCTGATGAAACAGCGGCCGAGCGATAAAGTCGCTGAACGCTGGTAGTTCTGTCCGAGGTCTGAATCCCGCGAACGGGCGAACGTCAAAATGCTGCGTGGGCATTTTCGTGGTTTTCCCCATGTGTAACGTGTATGCCAGCCAGTTTTCCTTAGAAAGTCCTCCACGAAGGCATCCCTCCCCTTAGGCAGATAGCCCTAGTGTGCTTTGTCATTATTTAAAAAACCAAAACCTCTTGATGAAGAAAGTCTTTCCTTTCATCTGATACCTTCAAAATGTTTAGCCTCTAAAGACTGATAAAGGCTCTGACCAAATATTGATGAAATGGATTGAATTGAATTATTAAGTTACGTCAAAGCAGGGCTATCTGCCTAAAAGGAAGGATGCCTTTGTGAAGAACTTTCTAAGGAAAATCAGCTGGCATACACGGTACACATGAGAAAATCCACGAAAACGCCCATGCAACCAGCCTGTTTACCGGGATTCGAACCCCGGAGTGAACTATCAGTGTTCAGCAACTTTACCTCTCGGCCGTTTGTGGGCATTTATGAAACGGAAGGCGATAAGTTTATTTAAAATGATTGTGAGAAATATCAAGATATTTCGAAAATTTGAATGTTTTTTAATATACTTGCGGAATGCCTAAAGAAAAAGAGCAAGAATAAAGTAGACTGCCTGAAGAAAAAGAAGAAAAAAATAAATTTTTACGGTAAAATTTAGTATTTGTATTTTTTTTAAATTTAAAACTTTTTAATCTTATGATATTTGATTCTTACGATTTCAAAAATAAAATATTTGACTAAAATATGAATAACATTTAAGAAGCCAAATGTAGGATAAAATTGTGTGTGTAAAGCAATGGGCACAATGATAAAACTGTTTAAAGCAGTGTGCAAGTCATCCTAAGTTAAAATGTCGATTACACATCTTTCTAAGTTATATATCCTTTCTGAACGGAACATTGAAAGACAGGTGTGTTAACTGTGCTTTACTGTATTTTCTCTTTTAATGTATGCAGTTTTCAAATGCATCGTAGTCTGGGTTACAAAGTATTCCTTCCGAAAAAAAAAGAAACGCAATTCAAATAAATAAAATCAAATTCTGGAAAATTTATATTAATAAATATATTTAAAATGCTCAATTTGAAGGAATAAATAGAAAATTTTAAAACAATTATCTGAAGAGACAATGCAACACAAACAATTAAAATAAAAGGTAAGAATTTAAAAATTACCTAAAATAATAACTATGACAAAAAATATATATAAAGAAAACTATTTGAAAAAAAAAAATAAACGCTGCACCTTTATTTATGCAGTTCGAATAGGTAAGTAGAAATTTTTAAAACAGTTATTCGAAAAAAATCATGCAACTAAAACAATTAAAAAAGTAATTCGAAAAAAAAAAATTACTTAAAATAATAAGTTATAATTAAAAATATAATATAAAGAATATTATTTGGAAAAAAAAGGAACGATGGTGACTTTTTTCCCTCTCACGGGAAAAGGAAACTAAAATAGGTTGCCATATATTAAGAAGTTCGCCAAGTGAACTATTCTTGGCGCAAACTGACAAAAAAGTGCCAACATAAATTTGTGAATTTCTCAGTAAATTTCGCTCGGAATTTTACAAAATTTCATATTTAGGCGTAATTTGAGTCGTAGAATCGAAATATGTAAAAATATTGGTATGTTATTTCAGAAAATGTCCAATTTTGTGTCAAAATACCTATGTTAGAATAGTGCTATATATAAATCTAATAAATATCCTAAGTCGCGCTTTCGAGACATGAAGAACGCAATTTGAATTTTGTCAATCGGCCCAGTAGATAGGGAGATATAGGACTGCCCCCCCTTTTTTAGCAGTGTACATATTAACTACTATGCTGCTCGGCCGACCAGTAACTTTCTAAAAATCGAGACAAAATCAATTTCAGTTTAGCTCAGCAGTGTTAGATTTTGTTTCTTATTTTATTTTGACATACCTAATCACTCATTGATCACAATAGTTAAGTAATTTAAGTTTAAATTTTTAAGAACAATAAATTAATTATCCTAACATTTTTAGAGAAATGGATAAGTTCTTGACTGGTTATAAGAGAAAATCCTCTAAAAATGAAGAATCTGATGTTGGCACAAGTAGTAGGAATCAGGAAGGAAGAACTCCCAAGACAAGAAAATACGATTTGTCTTATTACATTTGGATTTACAAGTGTTATTACTGATAATGTGAAACAAACAATTTGTTTTGTTCAAAAGTTTTGGCTGCGGATAGTACGAGACCCGGAAAATTAAAATGCCACATTGAAACTATGCATTCTCAATACGTTGGCAAGTCCAAAGAATTTTTTCAAAGAAAATTGGACGAGTTCACTAAGCAAAAGCAAACGTTCAAAAAAACAGTTCATATTTAGTCAAATGCATTACTAGCATTGTACTTAGTATCTTACAAAATCACAAAGTGTAAAAAACCACACACAATAGGAGAAACATTAGTTTTGCCAGCATTTATATGGTCAAAGCAATGTTTGACAAAAAACAGTTGCGACAAATATCGCTTGCTGATAACACTGTTGGCAGAAGAATCGTTGATATATCTGGCGATCGTTGCGATCAATTAGTTTCTCAGATGCACACTTCAAAATTTGCCTTACAAGTAGATGAAGCAACAGATGTAGCTAAAGATGAACATTTAATTACATATGTTCGATATGTTGAAGAGAATAATATAATTGAAGATACAGTCAAAAGTCGTTAATTCGGACACCCATAATTCGGAATGATCTATAATCCGGACCTCAAAACTAAAAACTTTCTGCGCATGCGCCGCGTTGACACATGCGCATAGGCGTTTACGCGTGTGTGTAAGACCTTTTACGACTGCGCACATGAGTGTATGCAAGTGCAGAATACGTTTTCGCGTGCGCGTTTTATGTATAATGGACGTATAAGCTAAAATTATCTATTTCAGTTAATGTTGATGATTGCGTTGTTCCTTAATTTTCGAATTGGATCCGGCTTATTATTTTTTGCAGACTGTAAGAGCAATTTTATAAAAGTAAGCTTAAACTTTCGATTATATCAAATAGAATTTCCGATATATATTTGTTAATATGTAAAGGATCTAAAGCGAAAGTATGTTTTGAAATCCGAAATCTGTTTATCAATTTCAATTGTTCGGCGGGGGGAACACCACAGCGGGCGCCACGTAATGAATTGGAAGTTGATCTGTCAGCACTATCCTTATCTTCAGGGCAGATGTTTTTATTTTATTTGGCTTATAATTCCTTACCAAATTAGTATTTCATCTCGATGTGCTCTGTCTTTGATATGATTTAAAACAAGTTCCTCCTCATTATAATTCGCTTCCGATAGCGAAGAAAGTGACAGAGGTTAGTGAAAACGAAAAAATTTTGATTGACAAATTAGTCGGTGTTCTCGACACAGCAATTATAGGACTTGAACAGCGGAACTTTGTAACTGAACAAGAAATTATGTCTGTTTAATAGAATTAAAGAGAAAGTATTATCACATGAAACGAAGCAAAACTTGAACAACTTACATTGAAAGAAATGTTTAATAAAGTAAACAAATATTAAGCTTTTTCTTTTTGCAAATTTTGATACCCTTTAGATCATAATTGTTCTTTATTTCATAAATTACGGTTTCATATTTTTAATTTTAGAATTTCTGCATGCCATCTTACGAGATTTAAACTGATGATCTATAATCAGGAAAAATCGATAATCCGGAATCGCCGAAGTCCCGATGAGTCCGGATTAATGACTTTTGACTGTATATTATTTTGCAAACCCGTTTCTGGCAAAGAAACATCCAGTGAAATTTTTAATATAATCGACAATCGTTTTATGAGAACGGCATATTGTGGAATAATTGCATTGGGCTTTGTACAGACAGTGCACAGTCAATGTCAGGACACAAAACTAACCTTCAAGCACTAATTAAAAGGAAAACACCCAATGTTCTCTGGACGCACTTCATGCTCCACGTATCTAAAAATATGAGTGAGGAACTTAACTACGTTTTTACAAAAGTAACGAAAGATGTAAACTACATAAAAAACAGTCCATTAAAAGTTAGGTTATTTGCAAAGCTGTGTGAAGATATGGAAGCTGCTTACACCTCATTTTTGTATTATTGTGAAGTGTCCTGGCTATCTTGTGCAAAAGTGATTCAGAGAGTACTTGAAGAAGAAAATGCAATTTTTCTCAAAGAACTCAAAGAAGAATTTTTAACTCAAAGAAGAAATTGCAATTTTTCTCGGAGAAAATCATAATGAGGATGCAAATATGCTTAGGGATGATAATCTTATTATTAAACTTTCCTAATTGGTGGAAATTTTGGAAAATTGAGTGTTTTGAATAAATCGATGCAAGGGACACAAATGCATTTATTGATTCAAAAAGATAAAGCATTCATTAAAAAAATGGAGATACGGAAGACAAATTTGGAAAAAATAGGTTCGACATGTTACCAACTTTATGCACCCAAATTAATATAGAAGCAAACAAAAATATATTTGTTGACCACTTGGATAGTTTGTTAATTCATTTTTCGAATTATTTTGATGATCTTGATTTTAGAAAATATGCATGGATACAGAATCCATTTATTAACGAAGTATCTTGTGACACTCCTTTAAAATAAAAATTTCAGATTGTATCTCTGATTCAAGATTGGCTAGATATTAAGCGTGAATATAATATTTTGTCAAATAAAGTTTTAAAAGTATTGCTACCATTCGCAACATCTTTTTTTATGCGAAACAGGATTTTCTGCATTAGCTACAATAAAATCTAAATATCGTGCTTGTTTGATTGTGGAAAAGGAGCTTCGTGTAGCTATCTCATCAATGACACCGAGATTTGATAAACTTTGCGCTGATAGGCAAGCACATCCATCTCATTAAGCGACAATAAAATATTGTTATTTGTTTTTTCTTGTGTATAAGAGTGTTTCTTAATAAATTTTTTAGTACTGAAAATTTTTGTGCTTGTAGTATTTTATAAAATGGAAGGGAGATGCCATATGATCAAATATTTTTAATTGAGCCGAGATAAAATAGTTGCCACTGCTTTTTAGTAATACCACTGCTTTAGATCGTAAATACTTTATTATTTCAAATTTTTAATTTTCTAATTTCTACATGCTATCTTACTAGATTTAAACTGATGATCTAATGTCCGGAAAAATCCCAAAGTCCTGACGAGTCTGGATTTCAAACTTTACACTGTATATTGAATTGAATATTTTTGCAGCAACTGTGCAGGGTTTTACTTCTGAATAAATTTTGAAATTCCTCTTTTTTTATTTTTATTTATATACAAGGGTGTCCCCACTTTATATATAAAATTTATTTTCTAATTGATTATTTAGTATATTATCTCCTTTGCCAATAGATATATGTTTATGGAAATTAAGTAATTCAATAGCATACATTTAAAAAATTGAATCTTGAATAAATTTATAATGGAAAAATTAAAAGGTATAATTAAAAGTGAAAATGTAATCATTAAACCAAATAATTATCGTCATTGATAAGAAATTAGTTGACTTCTCAAAGAGGAAACAATCTAACTTCCATTCAACTAACAATAATTAATAAAGGCAAAAGTGTTTAGTCTTTTTCTGAAGTAAGAATTGTTTATGATAAAAAAGCTTATTAGTAAGATAAGTTGAAGTTAAATAAGTTCAGTTGAAATGAAATGAGTTGAAACAAAATTGCAAATTAGAATTCAGTAAATAATTGGCTGTACCATTTAGTCTTAATCTTAAAATCAGGATATATTTTTGTACGTGTGAATTACATTTATATATATATAAAGGGGGAAACACCCTTGTATATAAATAAAAATAAAAAAAGGGGAATTTCAAAATTTATTCAGAAGTAAAACCCTGCACAGTTGCTGCAAAAATATTCAATTCAATATACAGTGTAAAGTCTGAAATCCGGACTCCGGCAATTCTGGATTTGGGATTTTTCCGGATATTAGATCATCAGATTAACCCCTTCGTGTCGAATGTCACGTATAGGTGCCAGCAACGAACACACTTATTTACCGGCCGACATGCAGGCGTGCCAGAGCATTGTTGCATTTACTACCGACTGTCACGTATTTGTGCCAGTACCTTGGAACGTTTTTCAAACTATAATTTCTGCCACAAGATGGCACTGTATGTCCATATGGTTTCAGATACATGTACATGAGACCTTCTACTCGAAATGAGAGAAGCATGACTCACATACACATGTTTTTGATTATATAAACAAACGGGGAACTAAATGTTTCCGAATGGCGTGATTTATGACGTCTCTTTAAATCGCACTTGGTAGTTGTTTATTGTAAGTAGAAGTTTTATATGCGCTAAAGCGTTGAGTATTTCGGTTTACAGTTCAGTTTTTAGAAAATAATTAGATCTTCTTAGACGTGAGTTCTTTCTGTTTTTACCATTTCAATGTCGAAGCGTCGAAAATGTATAACAGAGCATGAAATAGCAGAAATGATGCAAAATGTTTCAGATATTCATTCTGAAATTCTGATATTGATTCTGAAAGATTAACTGAAAGACATTTTCCAAAACTTTGTTCAGAAAAGACTGATAAGAAAATGAGACGATGATGCTTCGTTTGTTCACATTCCCGGAAAAAAAAAATCCTCCAAAACGGCAAATGAGTTATTATACGAGTTCAAGGAATGTAACATAGGACTGTGTATAGATCCCTGTTTTAAAATTTTCATACGAAAAGAAAATTTTAAGTAATATATTTAGTTTTCAGATGTATAATGTTAAAAGTCATAAAATGGTGAGTAATTAAAATAAAAAGTGTAATAATATGCATTTAAACAAGAAATAAGGTAATTAATTAAAGTATATATATAAAATATCTATAAAGCGTAAGCCGTTTAAATACTCTATAGAGCATTATTAAACAATGCGTTGATACTTAAGAAATTTCATGGATTTAGGCTTAGTAGCAAAAAAGCCCCCGGCCCTGGAGAGAGACTTGCGGAAGACACTGCCGGCCTCCGTGATAAGCGCGCGTTTTCGCTACCCGGCTCGAAGGGGTTAAATCTAGTAAGATAGCATGTAGAAATTAGAAAATTAAAAATATGAAATCATGATTTTATATATATATATATAAACACACATCCAATAAATACTGCTTCATCTTCATATTGAAAAGAAAAACTTATGTATAGCATATGTTCTGTTTTTGAGTTATTTAGCAACTCTTTTGCTTCCTCCCCCCCAGCAGTTAAATTTTTTGTCTTTACAAAAAATACTATTAGAAAAGAGATATGAAACAAATACCTTGTTATTGGCAATACAGCCATAAATAAAACTTTGAAGATGGACTTTCATGTCTTCACTGCCTAAATAAATCTAAAATAGATATATTTCTAAAATCTAATAATATAGATCTTAAAAGAGGAGGAGCCCTAACCTTCCTCTTGTTCTTGAACCTGAGCGTGAGCGAGACCTTTCTTTTCTTCTTTCTTCAACAGGAAGCATAACATTCCGTTCATCAAAATCTTGAGGTGGAAGTGGTGGTTCACCAGGCATGCTATACATAACTCTCTCATCTTCATCAATCTGACTACTCTGTAATAAATGTTGATCAGGAGGAATGATCTGTGAATATGCTCCATCTACTGGCATCGTTTCCATAAGAGGCAGTGGTGGCTGTTGGGCTTGAAACGGCATACTAGTTTTGTCATACTGATACTGCATCATGTTAGAGGCATCAGTGAATGGCAATGGTGGAAGCACCTGGAAAAAGAAAAATAGCATTGCTACATATGGGGGGGGGGAATAAAAATAAAAAAAAAAAATTATCTGAAATGTTTCAGATTTTAAATTACGTCCAAAGGGGCGTTTTTTAACATTTTGTTGGATTACCTTTCTTTACTAAATATCAAGTTCCTTTGCACTTAAACCATAAGAATCCAGTTCAACAGCAATATCGCAAAATAGTTTAAAATGAGCATATCTTTAGAATTTCCGTAATACAGAAGACCTCAAGCGCACTGGAGATAAAAATGTTTTTCTGCACAACGTGCCATTGCTCGCTTTGAATCCTTTTAGTTGAGTTTGTTAATTAAAAATTCGTCAAAGTTTTAAAAAAATAGGAAATCGATCATAAAACAATTTCAAATTTCAAATTTGGTCTTCCACATGCTCATATTCGTTGGAGGATTACGTTATTCAAAATTCGATGACTCTATGTACCGTTGTTTTATCACAATACGAGAAATACATACATTTATGCAGATTTTTCATTATTAATTTTTTCTTCAAATATAATGCAGGACTCTAACATTTTGTGGCAAACAGTTTGAAAAGTGAAAACCGACATTTATCCGTCCGACGCAAAATGCCCAAAACCAAAACGAAAGTAATAGTCCTTCGGGATTCAAATCCCTTTGGACTAAAAAAAAAAAAAAAAAAAAAACCCATAAAATATATAAAATTATTTACATGGGAGAAAATAAAAATTTTTAATATAATGAAATTTTTTAAGGTACTTTCCAAGCAAAATGATAAAAATTACAAAAACAGAAATGCATGAAATAAACACAAACTCGAAAATTACTAAGACAAGTTTTAAACTGTAAATACAGGAGACTAATTAATTACAAGCATAAATAGCAAAATCAATTTTAATTCTGTAAAATTCCTCCTTCCCACTTTGAAATCACACCTCTACAAATAATCTAAGATTCTGAATGCTTGTGGCTGTAATTTAAGAAAAGAAGTCTCGGTCATTTTCTCTATTTAAATATGCTTAATTTATGGGCAGATAAAACAATAATCCCAATCCAAGAGAAAATTAGAAAAACAAAATGCTCCAGCAACTTGAAAAACAATACTATTATATTACCAAGTTAGACACTTTATACCTATGCAAAGTGGCTACTACTTAGCATATTTTTTTAATAACGTATTATTGTTCAAGGCAAGTTTACGTAAATAACATCAAAGCAGGTAACTTCTAATCATTAACTGGTTAATATGCTTTCCTGGCAAAATCTGGCTTAAAAATTTCAAACAGCCAGAATTTCCCAATTAAAAAATGATACTAAAATTTTTATTAATTTAACTAATACCTGATACCAGTTAAGTCAGATTCAGAGTAATGCATCTAATAACAGAGAGAACAATAGCACTGTAATCCTTCTCTAATAACAATGCAAAAAATATGATTCATAATCATACATTTTTTAGTCTGCTGCAATATGCAACCCACATAAAAAATTTTAATGGAAAAATAAACTAATTGTCTCTCATTATATCAGCAACAATGGCACGCAGTTTTTAATGATTTCCATCTATCTAATCAAATGGTCGTAAAAGCTCAATTTCCATCCAATATTTCACCTATATTCAATTTTAGTCGATTAAATGTGGGAAAAAAATGGATTACAATTGATCAGAAATCAATAACGCCAAAAAACAAACACACAAACAGGCATTCTTTTTTATATAGGTAGATTTTGTAGAACTTAAATTTTTTATTAACAAACTGTACGATTTGAAAGCAAGCAGCAGCAAAACTTTTCAAAATAAAGCACGGTTTATCTCCAACATGTAAAACTGTTGCCATTTGGAAAAATGTGTGTGAAAATTAGTGTTTTCAAAGTTTTTAATTAATATCTCGGCTGATTAAAATTGTACAAAGATGGGAATAGTCGAAATGGCTTCCTATGAATTTTTGGAATCGGGAATAATGTATTTAATGTTCGGCAATGCCATTTTTATTTCATTGTAAAACTTTGAAATTTTTTATTAACAAACTCTACAGTTTGAAATGCGAGCAGTGGCAACACTTCTCGAAATAAAGCAGATTTTTATATCCAGCACGCGAGACTGTTGCCACTCGGGGAAAATTAGATTTTTCAAAGTTTTTAATTAATATCTCCGATTTTAGCTATATTTTTTGGGGGGGGCAGAGTGGACATTGACCTTTTGTAGGACCCAGAAGAGAATCGTAGATGGTCATTTGGTGATTATAGCTATAGTAGGGACTGAGTTAATTGCTAACAAACACACATACAGGCATTCTTCTTGATACATATAGGTTAACCAGTTTATATGGAAAAGAGAATTCAAATGAACTTTCTGTTACCCAAAGAACAAAAGAAACATAATGATGCTAATAAACTATAATATTCAAATTATTTTGCATCCCATAAAAAAAGATAAGAACAGCAAAAAATAACTGTAACCGATTTGCTTCTGACTTGCAGTGAAATGGGCAACTTTAGATAATTATTTTCTTCTACTTAGGTCTTTCAGAAGACTAAAAAAAAATATTACTTCCCCCCCCCATGAGGAAGATTCAGTACAGATTTATTACTTGGATTTTCATAATGACAGTGATGTAACTGACGGATTTCCTCATGAATATTTAAAATGAAGGGTTTAAAAAAATTGTTTTGACCATATTTTAATGTTAGTTTCTTTTAATTCCATAAGGAAGTTAACACAAATTACTAAAAAAATAATTTTAACATTACAGTTTTTTTTTTAATTCCACGAGGAAGATAATCAATACAAATTTATTACTCTTCTTACTTGGATTCGTGTAACGACAGCAACATAACTGATGGATTTCCTCATGAATATTTAAAATGAAGGGTTTAAAAAAATTTTTTTGACCATTATGATATATCCATTAACAAATTTATTAAGTATTGGTTTCAAATAAATATGCATTTAATTATAAATAGTTTAACAGCACATGAAATAAAACTTCAACACAATTAAATACTGATATTTGAATTATATTTTAAATTATGCCTGAATACAAATACTATCAAAAATAAAACAAAGCAATGGTTCCCAACAATATTCACTATTCTTGCTAAAAACCTAAGTCTGCATGGTATTTTGTAACTAAATTGGATTAACTTCTTAAGGACCAAATTATTTTTTAATCACCTGCCAAAATTTTTTTTATTGTTGATTTGAAAAGAAACCAGCATGCTTAATTATAATCCAAAAATATATCTACCAATAAAGACCCAATTTGGCAAAAAAAAAAAAAAAAAAAAAAAAAAAAAAAAAAAAAAAAAAAAAAAAAAAAAAAAAAAAAAGTTAACTTGTTAAACAACGAGTAACAAAATAAAATATTACTAAAGATCATTCAAACAATGTGAATTGATTCGACTTATGTAAAAAAATGACGGCATAACCTAAATAATATTCATAGTTTAGTGGCACCACCTTATTGATCAGTAACATAACTAAATTCTATCCCAGATTTTAAATAATTTGGATTGAGGGAAAATGATTATTTCTGTAGCCCACAGTGAAGTACAGGACATTATTCTAGTCTAAAATATATTCTGCACAAGAAAATCCCACAAATTATTTTTGAATACAATTATTGTGCGAGTTATTTTTGATATACAATTGTTTTGCATAACTTTGTATGCACAAAGATTGGAAATTTTCTTGCGCAGAATATTTTAGACTAGAATAATGTTCTTTTTTATAATAATTGCATATCTTTGCCCGAACAGGTTTGATAAGACTGATACAGTTAAGTCAGTCTGAGTTACGTCTGGATAAAAGAAATTGCTTAACATTACGCACAACAAATTAACTCGGGTTATTGCCTTAAGTGGTTAAATAAGCATACAAAAGAAAGGGGGGAAAAAAACTCCCTTTTATAAACAAAGCAAAGGGGAAAAACTGCAAATAAAATGAGATAGAAAAGATAGCAGAAAAATGTACACACAGACATATATATGCTTGATTAGAGTTCTCAACCAAGGAGAGAGGAATTTCTTTCAGGACAAAATGCAGTCAGCCTGACTCTACCTGATTACCGTTAAAAACTATCTAAATCTAAATAAATGTACATGTATTTTTCGAGTTTTGAGAAGGAGGGGGGAAATAATCTTCTACCCAGGATGAAAGGTATGTATGCAGCAAAAAAGGATGAGAAACGCTGTGCTAAATAATATGTCCATATGTGAAAAACATCATTTTTGATTAACATGACAAAGATGGAAAAGAACTTCAAGAAAAGACATAAGTATAATGCATTATAAATATTGGGTACTAATATAATTGGGTTGTAAATTAAATCACATTTATTTATCATTATAAAATGGAATAATTAAGAAGCTATTAAAAATACACTGATGGCAGCTCCACTTTTGAGATACAATAGAACAAGTATTGTGAAATCTACTCATATATATATAAACAAACTCTGGGCCAATATATATATGACTTTTGCATAATCTCTTTTTAGCAAATTATGAAAAATGTCTACAAGATGATGTTGGGAACCAACACCAAACTAATTTTGTACACTACTGCTAAGTAAATATATTTATAACACATACCTAAATTCTTTCAAAAAATATTTTTTATGGTATATATTTAACATAAAAAATAATAAATAAAATAATAATGTATATCAAAGTAAATTAGTACAAAATTAACCAATGCTTAATTTAATTGACTACAGCCAAGAAAAAATTACCAGTCATAATACAATGAGCAAGTTAATCAAAAATTAAAATAAATAACTATACAATAAAAATAAGTTAAGGATAAGTCTTATTCTTTCCCTCAACAATTAAAACTCAAGAAAGTATTCACTAATGACTCGTCACCTATTTCAAATTCAAAATTTGTTTATTTTGATGATGCAGTAATATCAGCTGCATTTTAAAAGGATAATTATACCTAAAAATTTCAATACAAAATATGCAAAAGATTTATAAAATAATACTTATAACTAAATGTACAAATAAATTAGGCATTACAGGAAAAGCTTTATAACTAAGCTTCATGCAAAATGAGTTGCAATGTGAGTGTACATAAATACATCCACATACAATTAATAGCAACATACTTATATTTATCAAAACCAAATTCAGCTAATAATTTTAAAAGCAAATATTTAAGTAAAACTTAAATTCTACATTAGCTTGAAGTAGAAATATAGAAAAGCCAAACTAAAACTTTTTTTATCTCATACACATGGCAAACTGCCTTGATTAAAAGAAACATAAATCTATGATTACTAGATGATACATTAGTATAATAGGACAACAAAACATGTGTTGTTGATGGCCCGATTTTGGATACTGTATGGTGCTGAGAAACTTAACTACACAGTTTAAATCCAGCTAAACATCAGTGAAAAAAGCAAGCTCTATATCAGTGGAAGAAAAAACTGGCCAAGGCAGCTTTGACACAAGAATTTACTATAACCAAATTTCCTGTATAAGAAAATTGATTGTGTAGGCATATATACCTACATTCAATTGTGTGCATACATATATATACTAGGTTCGGCTATTAATTTCCAGGACTGGCATAACTGTCGGAGAACGAAAAGTCGGAAGATGGCGCTAATGATTGAAGAGCGTTTTCTTCCGCATGCGCAGTGCAATCGGCGCCATTCTGAACTACGTGTTTCTCGTGGAAAGGAGCATTAAAACGTAACTCTTAAATTCCTATTGTCGAAGTGAAAATGGAGCAAAGAATTAACATTAAATTTTGCTTCAAATTGGGCAAGACAGCTGCAAAAACCTACGAAATATTAAACAAAAGCATTAACCCGCTCAAGAACTTTCGAATGCTTTAAACGCTCTCGGGACGGGCGCGAAAGCGTCAAAGATGATCTGCACACAGGTCGTCCACAATCCATACATACGCCGGAAGCAATTGAAAAAGTTCGCGATATGGCGAAATGTGATCGTGGATTTACTATTCGAGCACTCGCCAATGAATCCAACATGGACAAAGAGACGGTTCGGCGAATTTTGACGCAAGACCTAGGCAAACGCAAGATTTGTTCCTCACCATTTAAGGGACGAACAAAAGCAATTGAGACTGGACGCATAAGGCAAACATATCGACAATGCCGATGCTACCCTGCATTCCTGGATAGGATGGTCATGGGAGACGAGTCTTGGTGTTATCAATATAACCCTGAAACCAAGTGTCAAAGCTCCGAATGGCGGTCTCCAAGTTCTCCAAGGCACAAAAAATTTTGATTTGAAAAGTCCAAAATCGAGGTCATGTTAATCGCTTTTTTCGATTGTGATGGACTCATTCATCACGAATTTCTTCCTCCTAACATGACTATCAATGGACAGTTCTACACAGAAGTTCTTGACTGATTTCAAAAACAAATTCGTAGAGTGAGGCCTCATTTTCAACAAAATGGGAGTTAGCTGCTGCTACATGACAATGCCCGCCCGCACATTATGTTGCCTGCGAGACAATTCTTAGCCCAGCTTGGTGTCGTTGAAATGCAGCATCCACCATACTCTCCAGACCTAGCACCAGCAGACTTTTTCCTGTTTTCTAAGCTGAAAAATTCGCTCAAGGGAACAAGATTTCAGGATGTCGAAGCCATCAAGAAAACTGTAACGTCACTATTAAAGAGCACTCCAAAAGAGGACTTGAAAACTTTTTTCTGAAATTTGTATAGCCGAGCACAGACGTGCATTACGGCTGATGGGTATTACTTTGAATCATATTAAATAGCTATGTGTTTAACCTTTTTTCTTCTGAATTATTCCATGAGTCCTGGAAATTAATAGCCGGACATTGTATATATATGCAAATTGTTTAAGGACAACTTTATGTTACTACGAAGAAAAAGTATGACCATATATTAATACAAGAAAAGCTACTTCAGACGGCTCAGAGATTACTGCAGTCTTAACAGATGCTCCCCACTTTACAAACTTTTTCAAATACAAATAAACCTGTTCTGAAAGAGTAAAATTTGTTGGGAGTCAAAATGAAAATATTATTATTTTACGACACTTTTTGGAAAGATTACAGTATTTATAACTGTGTAAAATCCATAATGCATGGGAAGATGTAATGGATGTATGCATTAACAACATTTTGAAAAATATGTGGACTCTTATCTTGTTCATTCTCTCAAATGTTTTTTAGAAAACTATGACTGAATTCTGAGAGGTTTGCTAAAGTAAAGTTTGCTGTGCACAATGCCATCCAGTGCTATCATCTTATTTACGACTAAAGAAAAATATAACCTATTCGGACAAGTTTAGACACCTATTTTCTTAAGGAAGATATTTCAGAAACCGGTGTTGATGGCCTATCTAACATGCCAGCTCCTTTCACCTCCCATACAGCCTCCTTCATCATAAATATCCTCTTTACTTGTTGATGAGTCTTCAAAAAGAGAATCTGCTAGTCTCGTCCTCACCTGATTCAAACATGTCTCAAAAACAATAAACCAAGATACATGCTGTATAGCAAATTAATTCTTTAATTATTTTAAATTTTATATTCATAATGTATTGTATTTAAAGATTAAAGCATCATTTATTTGTTTCAGTATTTTTATTGTTTATTTGATATTATTTAGTTCTTATCTCAAAAACATCATGAGAAGATATGCATAGCATTTTACGAAGAAATTCATGGTATAAGCATTCAAAACATACCACCTTCATATGATAGGAAGCATCTGCATATAGCAAATTACCCTCTTATGGAGCAGACCCATTTTTCCATAAGAGTCCCTGAAACATACATTCATGAACACCTACACAAATGAATAATCAGTGCATACTGGGTACAGACCTAGTAACTGCAAAATACCAATGGACTGTTTTGATTCAAAATAATATTTTCCTGACTGCAGAATCACATGTGATGCAACACGAGCACAAAGCAGTTGAGGCATCTGGAATCACCAGCTCACAAAACATTTTTAGCATATAAATTTGTTCACAAAGTCATAGTTATATTTCTGGAGACCATCAATTGTACAGATTTTCTATCTAGCAATATCACTCTTAAAATAACTAGATTCTCAGAGATGAAGATAAAGCCATCAACAAATAAATGACCCAATTTGATAACTGAACGTATTGATTCTGCATAATCATGCATGCTAACAAATGCCAATCACATAACCTACATATTAAAAGGGTGGTGTAATGGCAGCACACTCGGTGCATATTCCAGAGGTCCAGGTTCGATTCCAGAAGAGGGCATTGCACACTTTTCACATCTCCTGTTTCAAATAATATACTGACTCTGTAGTCTATCCTTAAATGTGTTCCTCAAAGCTAAGAATTTCAGCAGTGGCAATGCGGTAAAGCAAGCAGTATAATCAGGACTCCAGAATACTCAGAATTTCTATATTGCTTGTACTCAGGCACTAATTTATTCCTGGAGTAAGTGCATTAGTAAAAAGAATTGTACTGAAAAATAACTCTTTTCCATATATTCTGTTATTCCTGAACTGCCTGTGTCCCTTATACATACATATTCATACAGCAATTATAATTAATTAAATTGTTCTACTAATAAATACTTAACTACTCGCTTAAGATATTGTACTTTTTAAAAATAAACTAGTTACTTTACATATCAAGTTGTGAAAAGCAATAAAAATTATGTAAAAAAGGACTATTTTTTTTTTGTGCTGATTAAAAAAAAGAATACAGTTTTGGTGGCAGGAAGATAAAAATGCATAACTAATAAAACATATAATAATGCTTTGAATACTGCTCAAGTTGGGAATCACCACAGAGTTAATTTTAAGCATAAAAATTATTTACTCCTCTGTCAGGTGGGGCTATAATTGAGGCAAGAGATCTTTCATCTAAATCCCGTGGTGGCATTGCTGCTTCAGGTATTATCCTGTCGTCTTTATCTGCCTCACAAGCTAGAGGCACACTCGTTTGCTGAAAAGATGTAAGATGCATAGGTGGTAGCAGCTAGAAAAGGAATGAAAACAGCGCTTTGTCATGACATTCTGTATTGTGTACTCGATCAGATTTTAATTCTTGATCTCAATAAAATGTATAAACATAAAATTAAAAAATGCACTCCCAATTAAAATGGTAAAATGTGTGAATTAAAAATAACTATAATTACATTTATGTAACTTCATTTATAAATAAAAAATATAAAACGGTTTTTATAAAGTAAGCTTTTATTTAAAACTTAATCAATTAATGAAGTAAAAGTAGAAAACCAAGTAATTACCATGCAGTTTAATGGAAACATGAGATTAAATAACACTCTACAAAATTCATCTATACTTTTTTACCACATATAACAAAAGCATGGGGGTGCCCTTGATAAATTTATAAAGTTAATGGCTGATACTTTCAACAACACAATTTGATTTGCGATATAAAACTGTAGATTAATTTTGTAAAGGAATCTCTTCCTACCATCAAACTATATAAATTTTCTACTTTTAGTTTATTAATTATTTTATGAATATCAAACTATTTCATAAAAACGTCCCCCTTTTTTAGTTTGAATGACATGTTATCAAACATAATTTTTTGACACTGAATAATCACTCTTTTAATCCCAACAATTCTGTTATATCAAGTGGTACAAAAAATCCAGCAAAAACTGCCAAAAAAATCAGAAATTTTGAAAAATCCATTTTTAAAAATTCACCCTACACTATCCATTGGTGGAAACAGTTAAAATTCTGAGATCTACAAAGTTGCCTAATTTTTTTTTTTATTTATTTATTTATGTACAAAGAAAGAAGGATAATAAGCTTAATTTCTTTGAAGGTAATTCTTTCTAGCAAGGAGAGATAGATTAATTAATAAAATCAGTACTAGTTGCTATAAATACTGAAGCTAGAAAAGCCTATAATCTTAACTTCAAATCTCCAATCAAATCATATCTAAGAACCACAATGCAATTTTTTCTTCTAATTAAACATCAGGTGTTTAAAAAAAAAAAAAATTACTATAGTTTTATCATTTTTGTTTTAAACAAGGTAAAGAGAATTTTATAATTTGTGAAAACTTCAAAACTTTTTAGTTACAATTAAATTTTAAAATCACAGATGTCAGACATCAAAAATAAGCAATTTTTTTAAATTCATCCCCACACCTCAAAAAATCCCCACAAATTATGTTTCTAGTAGTGCAAGCAGTAAAACTCTGGGACTTTTTTTTAAATGAATGTATATGCAAGAAATCATTACAACATTAAATTTTAAAATAATCTAAATCAAATTTGGGGGGGGGGATAATCACTTCACCACACTATACTGTCACCTACAAATAAAATGTACAAAATCTGAATTCAACAGCTCACCAAGTAGTAGTTTAAAAATGAATAACAGTTTTTTCCTACGCACAAATAACAAGAGTGAAATTATATAAAAGCTTATAAAAATATACTCGAGTAACTGGATTTATTTCATTACTTTGGATAACACTGCTATTTTTCTAACAATAATTGCGGAATAAAATTAAAATCAGCAAAGCAGAGACAAGGGACAGCTCTTAAACACCTTTGCAGGGTTTTGAAATATTACATACAAATGTAGATACGTTTGAGAGACATTTTAGCTCTTTATCATAATACTTTAACAGGTCAGCAAATATATATAGTGCAATCAGAGTGATTCCACAGTTTCTTAAGTTACATACAACCTTCAATAAAATACTGCTAAAAAATACCATTACATACACCATATAAAAATCCATATTTTACGTATTATGATGAAACAAATGCAAATAATGTATAAGCTTAAGAGAAAGGGAAATTCAAATTTTGCTTAGAAATGCAGCTACATTGAGAAAATACAACTCTTTTTATAAGAATCTTCTCTCCAATAACAAAATAATACAGCATTTACACTGAATAAATCATAAAAATGTTATACAGTACTGGGGTTGACAAAAAGTTGAGAAAACACTTAAGATGTAAATTTTAAAACGTTTGTACAGGGTTTGTATAAAAAGTATCAGGAAAATTTTTTCGCTCTGATGTGACTGTATATCAGAGGCCACTTACATCGTTCATGCTTGGTGGTGGAAGATGAGACCTTCAAGATGGGCCAAGTGCCTGAGAGCATTTATTCAGGCTAGATCGGATTTTCAATGGAAACTTGCCAAGTGACTCGGTGTAGTGCAAAATGTAGAGAACTATTGTATAAATGAACAGCGATATAACATAAAATTATGTGATGAACTGGGGAAATCAGGTACACAGACGTTGGCCAAGAGTTCGAAAATGAAAGCAGGCCAAAAACTGCACATTTTACAAGCTCAAGCTCTGCACAGATGGCCGAGAGGCTGAGAAGAATGAGCTCCATGCTGAACAACCTTCGACATCAAGAACCTCCAACATGTGCTTGAATTTAGACCATGAATTAAGTGTACGCATGATCACAAATGAAATTGGTATTGGTAAGATTGCACATTATGCACAGTATCACTGAAAATTTGGCGATGCAAAAGATCTGTGCTCGACTCTTCCCGAAAGTCTTGATGGATGACCAAAAAGCAGAGGTGAGAGTCTGCTTGCAAAGGTCATCTGCAACAAGCTGAAGAAGATCTTAGTTTTTTGGACAGCATAACCATGGGAAAAGAAAATTGGATATTTTGACTATGACTAAAAAACAATACAGCAAAGTTCCAAATGGCATGCAGTGACATCAGCTCATTCACAAAAGTTTTCCGTTATAAGAAAATCCAGTAATAACCATAAAACCTTTAGAAAAACTTTCCTTGTTTTCTCTGAACCAACATAATTGTAACTATATATTTCCATTTTTCACCTGGCAAATAATTTTCATATAGCCATCTGCCCCATAAGTTTTACGCTGAGAAACATGTTTTGGCGCTAAGTGATAACCATATTTTTGTTTGCTTGTTTTGATTAGCTTTAAATCAGATTTTATAATTTTGTTTACAGTTCCTACAGAGATATTTAAAGATTTTGCAATAGCTCTTCTGGGGGCTGGAGTTTCCTTTGAAACATGAGATACGACTTTAGATTTAATAAGAGCTGTACGTACTTTTGTTGGGTATGCATTTTTTTTTTTTTCCAAGTCAAATGTAAACTTTGATGTTTCTATCCTTTCATATTAATTATGTCATTTATTTTATATGTAGAAATATTAAAACCATGCTTTTCACATCTTTTTTTAGAACAAGAGTATTTCTCTTCAGACAGCGCTAAAATATAAATTTTGACCCATTGTTTATTTTTCAGCAACATTTTAAAGAAAGGGATATTTTAAAAATCTAATAACAATTTCAATTTTAGTGGACCAATTCAAAAAAGTAAAACAACCACATGTGAAAAGTTTTTTGATTTGATCAAATTATTCATTTTTATTACAACAGAAGTTGTGTTACAATAGGAGTTTTCTCTAGTTTTATACTTAACATATTTTAGGATTAGCAACAATATTTTGCTACTAAACAAGTCAAATATATTTCTTCTTTTCAAAACTTTTGTTGCTGTAATGTTATAGATTTTAAGAACTAACTTTTTTTATTTTTATTTTGTAGATCAAATTTTCAATTATTATTTTTCACATGATGTACTGCTTCTGTTTTACATATTTTTAACTGGGTCCACTTAAACTGGAAATTATTAGTAGACTTTTAAGATTTTTTGCATGTTTATGATTCTGATGCTATAATTTTTGCTTTTAAAATAAGTTTTAAACTTTGAGTCTTTATCGACTCAGAAACTGGCTGATTTATTTACTTCTTTTATTACACCAACTCACTGATGACGATACAGCAAAGGACATGAATTCAGGACAAAATTTTAGTTGTAAATTTCTTAATTCAATTCCCCCCCACCCATATTTTGCCCAATTTTTCTTGCAGTTTACCAGTATGCTTTTGATTTTCTCATATGGTATATTTTAAACTGAATATGGAACGAGTTTTAAATGTATTAATTTTATTTTGCATTTATTGCCACCCTTGTTGCTGCTTTCAGTGTGCAATTGGATTAGGTTTCAAACTGGTTTTTACTTTGCATTTATTCATTATTGGTTTTCTAGCTAAAATTTTTAAAAGTACTATTAATTATGCACTCCAGGGAATTACTGGCAATTTCTATCTTTCCTGTGCACTAAAAAAAGAAGCCCATTTTCAATTTCCTTAGACGCATTAAAGCTCGATCTGAAACTTTTCAGCCAATATTAAATACTTTAAAGACTTCGAGGCATTGCCATCTTGGATGATATTCTTAAGAACATCACTGCAGAAAACGACGCGATGATGGTCATCCAGTAGCCTTCTTTTCAGATTTCACTCCCGACCCCTCATTTTTATTTCATTACCAACTGAAACACTTCCAGAAAACATGGCAACTCCTGTTGTTCCTTTTACCTTGAAATCGGACCTTCAAGATTTTACCCTTTCTGGTAAACCCTACTGCAAAGCTTGGTGTAATTTAAAACAACCCTATTTGTCCAACATTTTTACTTCCATTACAATTCAAGCAGTCGGATGCCGATAGGTATGTTAGCACTTTTTCCTCTCTTTTTACTCATCATTTTTAATTTGGCCTTTTTTAATTTTAATTTTGGGTTATTCTAAGCACACTTAATTTGAGTATTTTAAGTTTTTCTGAACTTTCTAATGTAACTTCATTTGTGCTAGGCAGTTTTTGGTTTGGAGAATTTTAGGGAGTTGTTTAGTCTATGTTTAATTGAAAAATTTGTTAGTTCTCAACAGCTTTCTAAATGAAACTTCATTTGTCAGCGGCTGTGAGAAGGCTGGTACTCTTAAGCTGTCTTATATACTAAACTTGGATTTAAAAATAACTAATTTAAAAGATAATGAGTGAAAGAGTGAATTATGTTTACTTTAACTATTAGTCCATAACATCCATTAAAATTTACTTCCCTTAAATATACTTCCTATGCCTCAACTTGTACTTTCTTTTTTACCCTTCCTTTTTTAAGCTACATGTGTTAATTCCAATTACAAATCTCATGTTATATTGCTTAACTTCCTTAGCTCAATCTTTAAGATGAATTTTTCAAATGAACGTAATAATGCATAACATACACTAATTTTTGGACATGACAAATATTTATGTAAAAAGAATGAATGCACTAAATCTTCAGCAAAATGCTGATTTGAATTGTACTTAATTATGTACAATCAAATTTCAGAACTTTTATCGCTTCAATTACTTAGTGCTAAACATTATTATAACAAGACTAATTTGAAGTATGAAATTAATTACTCTATCATGAGATGCCATAAGAGAGGCAAGTGATCTTTCATCTAAATCCCGTGATGGCATGGGTGGTTCAGGTATTACTCTGTCATCTTTATCAGCCTCAGCCTGAGTTACTGGCAGATTATGAGACAAAACTGGCTGCTGATATGCTGATGTTGGCAACAACTGTAAAAGGAAATGATTTGAATGCTGCTAATATGACGCAGGTCCAAGGCAGTAGCAAAGATATATCTTTTTGCACTTCCATATATTTAACAAACATTATTTTTTTCAATCAGCACAGTTACTCTTATTTTCATAGCATAGTAAACAAAAACAATATTCTAATATATCATCTGTTCTAATAAAAAAGTTTAAGAAAAGTTTAATTTGAATTTATATGCAGCAAAACATTTAAAATATTAATACTATTTAAACAAAATTCTAATAAATTCAAATAATACATCTAATTATTTAAAAAATAATTAATCTATAATTAACTAAAAAATTCAAATAATGCATCTATACTTTTCTTCCCTTATTACAATCAAAAATTTTGGTTTACAATCAAAGCTACAAAAATCCATAACTTAAACACAAATGATGCATATACCATAGTAAACTCTCCTAATCTCGAATCTCTACTTTGTTGATATCCAAGTTTGACACAAATTCCTTCAATGATGCGGTAATTCAAATAGTGCATCTATACATTTATTTCCCCCATTGCAATGAAAAGTTTTGTTTTACAACCACTATAAAAATCCATTACTACATACATTTAGTTAACATATAATTAATATTTTACACACACATTTTAGTTAACATATAATTAATGACAATTAATAAACAAATGTGTTCAAACAAATGCGTTTGAAAATGTTCAAACTAAAATATACATAAAAACTGCGAACGGCACTCAGTAAACTCTCCAAATCTTGAACCTCTACTTATATCAAAGCTTGACACAAATTCCTTCAATAATGGATTATTAGAAGAAATATGTGTTATCTTGATTTCATTTCAACTGCATTACTGTTACCCCCTCCTTTACCCCCCAAAAAACTACCATTGATTTTATAATATATATATATATATAGAATTCCACTTATTAAGTGGCTTCACCTATAATTCAACAGAATAAAATGAAGGTAATTACAGTGCTAATGTTCAAATACTTTTAAAAACAAATTTCTGAATTGTCATTTATAGGGCCATTTGTTTGCAGTGGATAATTTATTAACTGGATCTTATACCTTCAAGTATGCATTAATATGAACTATATATGTTTCATGCTTCTTTTTATGAATTTTTTGGAATATTAAAATAACTAAAATGAAATGGTGTTCTACAATTTTTCCACTGGCATAGCAGCTGTGCACGAGTCAAACACAGAACTAATAGAAAACACTCTGATATGTAATCAACATTTATCCCACAGTTTTGAAATCTACTCGCCAGTTGAAAAAATACCATGCACTTTATTACAACAAAACACAAAACGTTTGCACATTTTATTTGTAATATGATAAAATTGCCTCTCATAAAGTTGAGACCAAAATTACAAATAAATTCAAGATGAAGAATTACATAATTTAATCATCATATTGATAATTATATATACATATTCCACTCGCATGATAAATGTAACATATGGAGCTGCATTTGCTTCACTCTGCAAGTTAAGAATACTTATCACTGCTGCCCCCCTCCAAAAAAAAAGATTAAATTAATCGCAAACTTTAATGAAGATAACGTTTCAAGCAAAAGCATAGTTAAACTTTAATAAACATAGATCAGCTGAATGCACCTACGACACACACATATATTTTTTTTTTCTCTCTACTGTTTCTTACACAAGATCGAGGTGAGAGGTTAAAACTTTCTGCTACAAAAATAGAAATAAATTTACTTTCCAAGAATATTGAAGTTTGTGTTTATCTAGATCTGGAAGTTGACAAGGATAATAAGCATCCATTTTGTGGCTGGTTCGAATTACTCAAACATTAGCACAATAAAAGCCATGCCAGAAATTTCTTGTGAAGAATGGTAGTAATGATATCGATGAATATCATTTGAAACGTTAAAATCATTTACTGTGTTGGTCTTGACTGAAACATTCTTTCCATATACGTTTTTCTTAATTAGACAAAGTTATTTACAGAAACATGCTGTAGCAGAAAATTATGAAATATTGTTTATACAAGGAACAATACTGCCCAGCTCCCCATTTCAAATTACCTTTCCTGATAATGGAAAAATCTATAATTAATTTTCAATATATGAATGAATGCTTTTAGATACAGGGGTTGGACAAAAATATGGAAACATGTTTAAAAAACATGTTTCTTTGCTTAATATGGTGTAGGAAACCCGTTGGCATCCAAAACAGCTTGCAGTCTTCTCGGAATGGATAAATACAGTCCCTGTATGTTTGCCAAGGGAATATTATATCATTCTTCCTGCAAAACGGTGGCAAGTTCAGATAACGATGTTGGCGGTGGATAACGAGAACGCACTTTCCGTTCCAATGTAGACCACAAAGGTTCGATAATATTCAGGTCTGGTGACTGTGGTGGCCAGGGGAGATGGAACAACTCATCCTCGTGCTCAGAAAACCAGTCCTGGACAATGCGAGCTGTGTGAACAGGGGCTTTGTCATCTTGGAAGACACCATCACCACCGGGGAACAAAGTTTGTACCATGGGATGAACTTGATCGGCCAAAATGTTCACGTAAGTCTTGGCAGTCATGTGCCCTGACACAGTTATCATGGGGCTAGCAGAGAACCATGATATGGCTGCCCAAACTATAACAGACCCCCCCCCATGTTTCACTCTTGGCAATAAGCAGTCTGTATTATAGGCTTGAGATGGCGTTCTCCAGACGTAAACTCGGCCAGAAGTGGGAAACAATGTGAAAGAAACTCGTCAGACCATATTACTCGCTTTCCACTGCTCATAGTCCAGGCTTTATGACTTAAAACACCACCTTTTCCTGTTACGGGCATTAGCATCACTGATGAGTGGCTTCTCAATTGCAGCACGGCCAGCAATTCCCTGTTTATGAAGCTTCCTTCTAATTGTTTTGGTACTCACAGGGTTTGGTAACACAACATTCATTTCAGCAGTAACTTTTTGCAGCTGTGGTCTTCTTATTTTTTCGTCACAATTGCCCTTAATGATCGTCTGTTACGATCACTCAAGACACACTTTCGTCCGCCCTGTGATTTAGCAGATGATGTTTTTCCGCTTTTCAAATATGCAGAATAAATCTTCGATACGGTACCTCTTGAAACACTAAACACCTCGGCTACCTTGCTACCATACGTGGCACCTACCATACGTGCTCCAACAATTTGCCCACGTTCGAAGTCTGTTAACTCTGACATAATGTATATTCAGAAGTAAAACCAGGAGATCAGGAGAAATTATGTCTGTGTATGTGTAAAATTTCATATATAAGGTATACAGGAAAATTCTGTGGAATAATGTTATTTGCAAGTTTCAGCATACATGCACTTTTATTTTCACTGTTTATCATTACAATTATGCACATATGCCCTTCTAAATCAACAGAAACAAATGTGTTTATCATTATTAAGTAAAATGCAATCATGTAAATATGGCTACTGATAAAACTTATTTGTAACACTGTATTTTGTACAAATTCCCACAAAGAAGAAATGTTACAGAAGTGTGTTGAAATTTAGTGAGAAGCAGGTGATTTTGACCTAAATGGTAAGCCAAGCTCTGGGCACCCTTTTTAATCGATGACAATATTGGCAAGACTATGATTGAGCAAGATCCTTTTCTGACAACACTGGAAACTGTGGAAAAGCTTAATCCAGTTCAACAAACCACGTTGGACTATATTCATAAACTAGGGTTGGTTTATAAGTATTCCAAAAGGGTGCCTTCTGAGTTAAGTGAGAAAAATTGCACGATAGAATCGTCATACGCACATTTCTGTTTGCTCAGAACAAAAACGAATTCTTTTTGAATCAGATGGTATGGTGACGAAAAGTTGGTTACCTACAAAAAATATCATTAGGAAAACAACATACCATGACACCAGACAACCTGCCACCTTCTTTATTTTCCCCCACCTCTAAAATGAGGCTGAGCCTGAATAAGCAGATGTTGTGTACGTGCCGAAGGACCCATCCATTACAAGCTTTTGAAACTTAATTTGAGAATATGCTGTTAGCAGATGGATGATTTAAAGAAAGTAGTCAAAGAAAAGAACCTGGCGATGTTCAATAGAAAGCACATCATACTGCATCATGATAATGCCAGACCACATGCTGCTTTGGCAACTCGAAAGAAAATCGTAGGGACAGGCTGAAAAATTCTGCTGCATTCATTACACTCTTCAGAGCTAGAACTCTCTGATTATCCCTCGTTTCTTTCCTAACAAAATTTTTTGAAGAGAAAAAGTTCAAAATTGAAGTTAATGTCAGCTAAGTACTACTTGAGTTCTTCGCTTCAAAGATAAAAACAAAAAACATAAAAAAAAAAAAAAAAAACATTCTTCAAAAATGGTATTTACGAATTACCATCACGCTGACCATAAGTAATATCAAAAATTACACTGTATAATAAACATTATTAATGGATAATATATTATTTTGTTTGCTTCCCAAATGGATAGAATTTTCTGAAATTATTCTGATTTTCCCCTAAGTTTGTTCTCAATAAGAGTAATGGTGACAAATTTTAAGTTTTTAAGTATTTGCAAATCTCTCTAGCTCAATTAAATATTTTCTGTTTATTGAATCGTAGGCAGACTTAAAAATCAACAAAAAGGTGGTGCGTTACAATACCATATTTAGTAGTTTTTTCCAAAATTTGCCTAATGTTAATTTGCCTAAAGATTTGTTCTGCTGCAGATCTTCCTTTGAAGAAACCACATTGGTAATCACAAACAATATTTTTTGTATAAGTTACATGTCTGCTAAAAAGTATATTGGAAAATAGTTTGTAGAAAACACAAAGGAGACTGATTTCCCTGAAGTTGGTACATTCCAAAGAGTCTCCTTTTTTATGTATAGGACAGATGATGCTCAGTTTCCAATCTTCGGGTAAAACTTCTTGATTCCAAACTGATTTGATGAGGTGATGTATTTCCTCAATGTTGTGACCTGCAACACTTTTAATGGTTCTGAAAGTAATAGTCAGGGCCTGAGGCCTTGTTATTTTTGAGCTTTTTAATTCCTTCTCTAACTTCTGCCAAAGATGGTGGCGGGATACTATCGGTGTTTACACAGGTATTTGGGTAGGTTGAAGACTCATCTCGTGTATAGTCATTCAACAAATTAACATTTTCCTTTATTATTTCCAATTATTTACATCTTATCTCAACAGGAAAATGATGAACTTTAATTGCAATTAATTAAAATTTTATATCAGTTTAACAATAATTTTTATGGACTTGTACTTCACTGAACCTAAGTTGTGTTGAAACTAATCAGCACAACTTAGATCCAATTTTTATTTTAAAGTTTACTGCATAGAAGATCTATTAGACTGTTAACGATTAAGACAAAAATATTATCTCTCACCCTCTTCTGTTACTGTAGAAAGTAAACTCCAAATATGAGAACAGCAATAAATATAACTCGAAATAATGTGATGAGGACCATGAGTTTTATAAGCTAAGCATCAATGATAATCTATTAACACTAGAAATATAGGAATAGTTAAAAGAGTTGATAACAATGATTCTATCAAGTGAAGCTGTGAAAGTAAGCTAGGCCAAGTACTTTGCTTATTACATATGCCTGTGACATACATATATTTTATTACGCATAACTAATCAATAATACTGTCTTATTTGACTTTACGTAAATTTAACAGCACTTTTCATATACTGTTATAAATAATTTATTACAATACTCTTCCAACAGGCAAAAATATGTTTTAAATTCAATATATGGAGGCTTTAAAAAAAGGTTTTCTCAATAACCTTAGTTTCGCAAAAAAATATTTTAAAATGACTTCACGATTCTGTTTGCCAACACTAATTTTATACTTAAAAAAATAAGAATAGTTTATTCTTATTTTTTTAAACAGAAGACCTAAACTTAAAATGATTCCAAAGTACTGCAGACAACTAGGACGTAAAAAGACACAAATCGGGGGATAATTAGGTAGGTGGTATTAATAATAATAAACTGATTTTTAGCTCAGCTTCATATTCAAGATATTCCTTCACCCTTTAGAATTTATTGTGTTATAAACAGAAAATACAGCATTTAAATAAAATTATTACACATAACTATTAACTTTGAAACATGAAAAATCAGGAGATTTCACATGAGGTTTTTGCAGTGTATGATGACACCATTTTAAAAGAAGTCCCAACCAACTTACATTCAGTTTACAGAATGACTTAGGTCACTGAACTATTTATAATGATTCGTGTATAAAATACATTAATATTTTATTACACATTCTAAATTTCATTTATTTATTTATTTCTTGAGAGAAAAAAGCTGAGTAGGGGGGAAAAGCTTTCATTTATCAAAGTACTTTTAAAATACAATGAAAATAAAATTAACATATGTACTATTTTCGGGATAAACTTAGTAATATACCATATATGAATGCAAAACAAATTAAATACAAATATTAGAAAATTATACATTTGTTTATATTTTTATTTAATATTCTTCAAATAAATTCCGCACAAATATACAGTATATTCAGACAATTTAGATGAATAAAATTTAATAAAAGAAAATTATACTGCAAATCATTAAAAGTGCAAGACTAGAATTTGTACGATTTATGTTTCATTAATTCAATACATAACATTTATGTGAGAACTTTTACTTTAATAGTTCTAATTCATAAAGACTAAAAATTAAAAAGTGGGAGATATAACGATCTACTGGGAGATACGACCAAAAACCAAGATCTATGATCATATAAAGGGTGTTTTAAAACTTACCATTCAAATTTTGTGGGAAGGTAAGGAAGACGTCAGGAAATCGATTTCATATAGGAAAGTATGCTCGCAAACGCCATCTACATGAACGAAACGCACAAGTAAAGTTAACACAAGGAAACAGTACAGTCAAGTGGTAACGATGTGACCTTTATTCCAACAAGGTAAGGTACAGGTTCACAGTAGACGCTCAAAATTCCGACCATTTACACAAACACAAGATTCACACCACTGTTGCACTAACCGCCGAACATTCTCAAAAAATGCTGGCATATCACGGACAGTTCCTGCAGCAGCCACTATTTGTGCAACAAGGTCCATTTCATTGTCGACAGGAGCCTACACATGTTCTTTCATGCCCTAACACACTACACTACACAGTATACTAAACTGCATTATTAATTTCTAAAGGGGAATAACAAAGACTTCATCAACAGATGGCAAGAACAGCTATGAATTAATAACACTTTTTCATATATCTGAATAGCAAAACTCTTTGAGCAACAAAAAGATTACAACCATTTGCTTTCTTTTTAAGACAACCATTTTTGTTTACAGGTTACTATTTAAAAACATTATTTTTTAACTTTCCAACTGTGCGGGAACTATGCTGCATGATGATTGTTTAAGGACCTTGCTAAGAATCTTCTGAAAAATAAAAGCAAGGGGTGTTTTTTTTTGGGGGGGGAGCCTTTTTAATATCACAATAGAAAGAAGAAACTACAGCCCTGCAGCATATACTATACATTTAAAAAAAAAAAAAAAACATACTGAATATATCATATCATTTCCCCTCACAAGTTAAGTAACTGCATATTAATAAAACATCAGAAATTTATCTATAAAGCTATATGCTACAACATCTAAATTACTTAAATCATTCTTGGTCCCTAAAGAGATTTGCTCATATTATTTGAATATATGACCAGTTATAAAACTGCAGGTAAAAGTCACCATTACTAGAAGAGAAAAATGTTCATAAACGTAATTACGGAGTGGAAATGAATTCAGCAAGCTCTTCTCGCAATGCTGCCAGATTATAACTAAAATTTTGCTCATTCAGTTATAAACTACCGATCATTGGAGGAATAATAATTGTGTAAGTAACAAAAATTTGAAGTCTGCTGACGGAATAAAGGGAGATGTTGTACCTTATTCTCAACAAGGAATTATATCACCAGTAAAGCAATTAAAAAACTGTGTTGTACTTAAAATTAGATATCAAATGATTCATAGATACCAAGATGTTATTAAATCAATATGATTACACTGGCAATTAAATTTTCCTGAAAATATTGTTAACTAAATTTTGCCATTTTGTGTTTACACTACAGGAACACCAAATCCTGCTTGTTATCTGACTGCCCCATATATAAGATAACATGTAAGCAAAAACATTTGCAATCTGATCTTTGAATTCAGACCTCAGTTTAATTCAGAAAAATTTTATGTAAAAAAAAAAAAAAAAAAAAAAAGAGAGAGAGAGAGAGATTACTGTGATTTATTAATTATCAGTAATTAGTAAGTTAAAATCATGCCCCCTTAAAAAAAATCTCTTAGTTTAGAGCTGCTAAGTAAAATGATTCATGTATACACATATTTGTTATCTTGTCAAAATCCAAGCTGCTGCCATCAAAAGATTTCCTAATATTATTAAAAACAATTTTTCTTGAACTTCACTGCATAGATATTATACTAAATGGACTGGCAATAACTAGCTTGGAAGATAATGATAAGCAATGGCAAAGTAATTCTATCTGGAACTTATTCATAGTTTCCAAGTCAAAGAATTTAAATGAAATTGGACATGACCAAGAAAGTCTTCAGGACAAATAACATATAACTTTTTTGCTATAACAAATTATTTTTAAAATCACTATTAATCATGTAGAAACTGTAGAATTAGAGAATGTTATTGTGTTTAACATAGGTTGATAGCTATAATTATTGGTGAAAATATCGCTAAGGGAAAACATTATCATACAAAACGTTTGGTAGAAAAGCAGGATAAAAATGTAATAATTTTAAAATATTATGTACAAAATTACATACTACTGCTTGAGGACTGCTTTTGCTGTGCACCTCAGATGAATAGTTAACTTCATTATCTTCTGACTTAACAACAGGAGCTTGAGCCTGTGTATCAAGTTCTGATGACAAGGCTTCATTTTGCTGTATAGTCTGTTGCATCTGCTGAAGTTGTCTTAGAAGCTCTGGATTGGATAAAAGATTCTGAGCCATGCTAAAACAGAAAATAAAACGAATAAGGGTTTAAAATTTACTTTTTAAATTGATTTTTTTAACTAAGCAATGTGTTCTTAATAAAGTGATGTGTTACATAACAGGTAAAATGAAGTGCTACATAACAGGTAAAAAAAAAACCTATTTTACATATGTATACAGAATAAGAATGAATTTTAATTTAATCAACTGTGTATTACTAAACCATTCAGGCATCAAAGTTTTTTTTTTTTTAAAAAAAAGGGGGGGGGCAAAATTTTGCTGCCATTTATCAATTTACCTTAATTACAAACTCATTACCATTGAAATGCAATTAATTATTCCTAATATGAAGTTTGAGGTATGAGGAACATGAAAAAGTTTTTCATTATTAGTAAACAAATTGTGAATATATTTATTTTGTTATTTAAAAAACAGCCCCTTAACATTTTTCTGGAGCAAAAATTCTGGCATAACACATCTTAAAGAGAATCTTCCTAAACAAGCCGTCTCTTGCATCAGCACCTCTCACCTTTTTAGAAGCTTCGTACACAAGTTTAACACATCGTTCTATAGCCTGGGTGCAACAAGAAAATCTAGTTTGCTATCTAGTTTTTAATATATTTTTTATGCCTTCATCTGTAATGTTTCTTAATACTGAAGGAGAGATACTGCAATTATCCCACAAATCATGCTGACATAGCTTGTTGCTTTGAAGTTGAGTTTTAGCAAGATGAAGTTTCTTCCCTAGAAAAGTGAACAAGCTTTAAACAATTGACACAGACCTAGTTCTCTGTTATTTTCTCTTTTAACCACAATCAGTGCAAGCATCAAATTTTCGGGATGATGCCAATGGCAATGATTATACAGGCATGATAGTGCAAGTTGGCAAAAAAAACTGAACAACACGTGGACACAAAATCACACAGAAACTAATTGTGCATGCGCAACCTAAAAAAAAAAACACATTTTAATAAAATATCAACCTTTTAATATAAAAAGTATTAAACATATAATTAAACTAAAATAATACTTGTACTTACTATTTTGCTATTAATTTTATCTTGTAAAAAAATCAATAAATCACCAAGAGATTGTAATGAATTAACCTTCTTAAATCTCTTTATGTAACGTTGATACTGATACTGTACCAACATTAAACACACTAATATACATATTTATGTTATACATTACTGCCCATTTTCAGGCAATGACAAGTTTTTAGAGATAATATATATATATACAACTGATACTATAGCTCGCATTATCTTCACTTTTCTCAATAAACATACTTTATATAAGAAAAAAAAAGTAGTCCTGTGAGATATTATAGTTACAAATACATATAGTTAAAGGAGAATACAAAAAATAGCTATTTGTCTCAGTCTCATCTCCTGATTAAAAAATTTTTAGAGAAAAAGCCTTTTCTTTTTGCTACTTTTGCAGCCAACTTTCTAATTTCCGTTGCGAGCTTGTCTCAATTTCTTTTTAGCAGCTTTTATACAATCCATTCATACTTTTTATTTTCTTCTTTATTTTCTGCAATGTTTAATTGCTCTTTTTAGATTTTCTATCTCTAGCTCTTCTTTGTACAGTTTATGAGCATTCCTTAAATTTTTACATAGAGTTTTGTGTACTGGAGAATGCAAGTGGTTATCCGTATGTCCGACAGATGGCGCCAGCACTGATCACTGAAATTATTGAAGGCAGCTCTCTTTTGACGGTTGCTTGCTCTTCTTTGATTGGATATTTGTACGCATCTAGTTCCACCTTTCCACATAAACCCCACCTACTTCGCCTTGATGTGAAACAAAGTATTTCACGATCTCGGCTCAGGCAAACTCGAAAAGTTCGCAACAAGGGGTGCCCGCGTTTGATCGCTAACCCAGCGTAATATTATACGATGGCATGATGTAAAGTTTTTTTACAAAGAGGAAGAGAGAGAGCATGTCCTCCACTTACCCCCACCCCCACATTTGCCGGCGGTTTCTCACGGTCTCTGCATCGATCTCAAAACAGCCCGGGTGCTTTCAAAAACGCAGAAAATTTCATGCCTGATTATAAGTTACGAGCCTATGGTTCAAAACATGTACCTCCACATCAGAAAATATCTAAGTAGTGAGCAGAAAGAGGAAAATTGCTAATTGTTATCATGATAACACTAAGTTAGCTCAAAAAAGTGAGGGATAGGAAAAATCAAGTTGATTTTTTTTGAAGTTTTATGATTTAAAACTTTTTTGTGATTTTTAATTATATATATATATATATTTAATTTTATAACACAGAAATACGACACTAAAGCAAAAAGTGGAAAGGAAAGATTTTACAGATTAATAGGGTCATGGCATATGGCACAGATCATAGTGAAGTAAAGATTAAATTTTCACGACGAAATATTCAGGCAGAAATGTATTTCTGCAGGCATGATGTGATTAAATATTGAACAGATTGATAAGAATGCAGAGGTGGCCACTTTTCAGTAATACTGGAGTAGGAGAAAGCAATTATGGCCGATCAATTACATGGCAGTACGTCCTTCATGGGCCAGGCACTGGAACTGAGAAGAAAGGGGCATGTCTACGCCTTTTAGCTGGAGGATAGATGTCGTATTCGCGTCTGATGGTGGAGCAAGGTCTTTTCTGTGAGCTGCGAATAGCAGGATCCTGGTAACTGTTGAAGTGCATGACTACGTTTTTTAATAACATCTATGGGTTTAATGTTAAGATCTGAATGAATTACATCAGCACGAACATAATATGCTGCATTATAATGACTTTACAGTAAATTTTAAAGTTAGGTATCATGATGCTCTGATGGTTTTAAAAGGGCCCTATGAAAATTTTTTGCTTGCTTTTATTTCGAATCAGAGGTATTTAACACTTCAAAATAAAAGGTATCAACTGCTTAATTTCATCAATAGGTTATTCTAAGCTCATACTGGTCCAGTGTTGCCAGAATGTTTTCACCTAAAGTAGAAAAAGAAGCCTCAGAGTCGCAAATGATGTCAGAAATCAACTGACTTTTGTGATGTCATAGTTTGTGATGCTCACATGACCTCTGACGTCATCACAATTCTGTAAGTTATAGAGTTTATTTGGTTTTTTGTCGTTTTAATTACGTCTTAGCTTTAACGAAAATTTTAAAACTAGATTGCTCATTTTCAATTGTTTAAATATCCTCCATTTCTTTTTTTAATTAATTTTTACTTAATTTAGGTTATATTTTAAAATTAATTTGTGCATATCCATTCTTAAAAGATTTTTTATGTCTAGATTCTTAGCACTCTTGTACTAAATTTTTTGAGTAAGCAGTTCATTTATTTAAGTCCCCCTTTTTTCCCCTTAATTGTGAACATTTTAATTCAGGAATGTTTTTCAGTTAGTTTTCCGTTCCTGGTAGCTTATTTCAGATTCTGTTTACATAAGAAATAATTGTCCATTTACTGTTAAATTTATGTTTGTTGTTATTTAGAAAAATGCTATTGCTTTGATTTTTAAGTCATTTCCATTGCTTCATAGCAGTATTATAATCAGGAGAATTAATTTAATTTCTTTAATTCAATTATTTTTTAAGTAGCTTAATTGAGGGGCAGAGTGAACGCACAGGGGATGATGGGAGGAGGTGAAAGGTCCCGAAGCAGATTTTCTCCCTTCCTCCTTGTTATACCGGTGTCAGGTTTAGCGGCCTTGAAAAGGAAGCCCACATGTAAACAGGATTGCCAAATGCCAACTTCCATTTAAGCCTAAATAATTTTTTTTTCATATAAATTATTTTTAATTGATACATTATCTTAAAAAGTAAGCATTTCACTATATATTAAAAAATTATTTGAAGTCGCAAAAAGTAGCATAAAGAAATAAGGGAGGTCGCAAAATTGCAAATACTAAAATTTTAGTAGCACAAGTTTGTCAATAGTCGCAAATTGGCAAAAAATTGCACGATCTGGCAACACTGGACTGGTCAATCATCTTGAGTGATAAAACCAACTAGTATCATGAGCAGCTAAATCTTCTAAAATTATACCTGACTTTCTAGCAGCAGAAATATCAAGTATAACTGATCTTGCTCAGTACTTTTCAGTCAACTTGAGGAATGGAACATGTAGTAGGTTCAAAGCAAAATCAGTGGAAGTTTTTCACAGGCGTTAAGTATTTTTCTGACTGGTCCAATGAAGGATCTGGGCCCTGTGATAACACCATCCAAGTAGGTGAGAGAAGTGCAGTTTACTGAAAAGTAGGAGATATATAGCCCACCCTGTTGTAACAAATCCTGCACAGGGAGGAACATTACCAATATGTTCTGACCCTTGTTCTTGTATGAAAGAATAATGGTCCTCTTTTGCAGTTCTCTGCAAATACTTTGAAGTAATTTTTTTAATTGTGTCATATTTTCTTTCAAATATGTACACACTACATACTGTTTCCTTGACAGATCAATTCCACAAATCACTGTTTCAAGTTTTTCTCCTCTTATTTTGTTTTTGCCAACAATATGAGAAATGTTCAAATCTTGAAGGAAGTGACAATTGTGAGTGAGCCAGTCTAAGATTGCTTATCAGCCAATCATATGAAAGAAAGAGGATAACAGACACATAATATGATGCAATGAATTCCATGCATGAAGCCCTTCTCAGCAGTTGTACATATTCGATAATTATCGACAGCATTAAAAAAGGTTTGTAGAAAAAATTACAAAATACTGCTGTTTTTACAAATAATTTCATTTTTTCTACTTTTTATATGAACAATAAATAAACTGGAATTACAAGTTTTATTTTTTTGTTCATGCCCTAAAACTTCACATTAGGTCCTTGGCTTTTCAATAGTTTAGTTTATAACAAACTAAAGAAAAACAAAAAAAAAAAAAAATAATAATTTATCATTTTTCAAAACTTTGAGTGTGACGTGCAAATGGAAGATACAATTTTATTAGAATCCCCCCCTCCATTTTGATTAATTGTGTGATGGGCAAATTTTCTGGAATATAGACATCTCTACATATAATAAAAGAAAGAGTCTGTCTGTATGTCAGTGTGTGTGTCTTTTGTTCGCGCTGCACATAAGCTAATAGACCCACGGCTACGAAATTTGGTACATAGGTGCATCTAGACAAGAGCCAATGCACCTCGAAGTGATTTTTCGAAATTCGAATTAGAATTTTTTTTATTATATGTTTTGTGATGAAATCACGTCATTTTAAAACATAATGGGCTATAGAAAAGTGAGATTTTACTCTACACACTCCATTTTCACATTGTTATGAAACGTAGGCACTTAGCTATTTTAAGAACTTAAAATAAATTTCGTGTTTCAATAAATCGATTCAATACGAATTCATTTAAAAAGGGAGCTTAACACCTTTTCAACGGGATTTTTTCTAAAAAAAGTTTATGTTTAAAAATGTACAGTTTATTTTTCTTTGATTTTTGGACATGTTAAACTTTCATCCTTGTGACTGCTTTTACAAAAAGAATTTTGGAAAAATGATAATATTTTGTATTTTTAAAAAAACATTTTAAATGAAGTTTCCAAGTACACTTCTCACATTTCATATCTTTAAAAACGTGATTTTGGCAACAATTTTCCTTTCTTATTGTTGTTGACAGATTTTTGATGAAATCGCATCATTTTGAATAGTTTCATTATTTTAGAAATATGAGTTTGGCAAGAATTTTTCATCGTATTTCTTATATCACTGTTTAAGAGATTGGCATATTTCATTGTCATTTTATATATATAAATTTTTATTGATGTTTTTTATAAAGTTGTTCTGCAGAGTAAAGTTGTGCACAGAAGTTTTTTTTTTTTTTTTTTTTTTTTTTTTTAGTTTCTTTCATGCTATTTTTTGCTTATTTCATTGTTTGTAAGATATTGAAATGTTTTGCATGATTTTTTATTAGGATAATTAATATTTGTATTAAGGGATATAGCTTAATTCATTGTATTTTTTCCCTCTTGAAAATATAAGATAAAATATCATTAATTATACTTTGCTTTTTAGAATTTTTTTTGTTTTTTGTATTCTTTTGTTATTTATTGCTTATTTCACTGTTTTTAAGATATTAAAAAGTTTTGAGTGATTTTTTTAGTAAACAAAGTTCTTAACCTCCTTTATAGCATTTGAGTTCTTAAGATTTTGCAAAAGGAAGTTTGTTAATCAAATCCTGGTGGTGGAGAATCACCATACACCACATTTTTTTTTTTTAGTTCGGGCGCCACTATAGAGACATCAGGTTTTTTGTGAAATCAGGAGAGATGAAAAATGAGCAATGCCCTCACCGGGACTCGAACCACGGACCTCTCGATATGCTTTGAGTGTACTGACCACTACGAAGGCCTGCCAAGAAGGCGGGAGAAATACCTTATAACCTTAGTTTTTAAATTTAACATTTGGTGTTCCCTTCAGCCATTTTTCTGGTACATTTAAAAGCCACATGAAGGCTGGCAGCGAAGCTGCTAGTAAGAGAAATAAAGGAAAAAACATGGTTTCCCACCAGCCCACCTACTATACATACACGTGTGTGTGCATGAATATACATCATAATTAAAAATAGTAAGGATACTAAAAAGAGCAAGAAAGGCTCAGAAATTATTAAATTATTTCAATTACATTTCACTGAAAATAAATCTATACTTTTTACACATGAAAATATATCATGCAAGCAATATTTATTTCTCATACTTCACCACTGCTGATAAAATTATACAGATTTTATAATAAAAATATCACTCAGATATTAGGATTTATGAATTAATTAATGGATTCTAAAATACATAATATTATAAAATGCTTAAGATGCACGAAGTTAAATACAACCTGCTTCAATAACTTCAGTTTGAATACTAATTCAGAAGTCAAACAACAACTTCAGTTTGAATGCCAACTTCAACTTCAGTTTGAATGCCAAATAAAAATAAAGAGATCAATCTGATGGCAAATACGACAGTGAAATTGCCATATAATTGTTAATGAATCAGAAAATAAATAAAATTCATTTGATCAAATTTTGAAATCAAGGAGGCTTTATTGATATCTTTGGACATAAATCATTGGAAAAATACTTTTTGGACAAAAATTTGGAAGTCTATTAAATATAAATTAATACTACTTCTCAAATTTTATATTTTTTAAATCCAGATAGCAACATATTTAAATAATTTAATCTCTTCAAACTTCTTGTCCTGAACTAAAAAATCAATATCTTGTGTAAGTTATCTCTTGCTCAATATCTTGTGTAAGTTTTTCTAAATTTTCAACTTAAACATCAAGATGCAATAGTTTTATCTTTATGTTTACTTTGTGCACCTTTAAAAACTTTTTCTTGTAATTCTTTCACACTACCTTTTTGTCAATAGTTTAAATAAAAGTCTACTGCTTACACTGCTATAAATTTTGAGTTAATAATAAAGAAAATTTTGCTTTATATTTTTAATGTCAGTTAAATCAATGATACGTATGATATAAAAATCTATTGTAAAAATCCCCCCCTACAGTGGCACCTCAATATGTCATTAATCCATTCCAGATCCTTAGACATATACCAAACATTTTCAATAGGAAATAAAGGAAAAATAATTAGTATGTTCTTATAAAAAGATCCAGTTCCTATATCACTGTTTAATACTAAAATATTAAATACATGTATGCTGCTAACACTCTCATGTTTCAAGATGACAACAGTAGAGAGCCTAGGGCTGCATGCATACTTAACTGGCATGATGAACAAGCAGAAATCCTCTTGATGTGTACTTTCCTGCTAAATGTCCTGATCTTAAAATTACTGAAAATCTATGAGACATTTTGGAACAGTGAGTAAAATGCCACTATTAGAACACTCCAATGTGGCAGGTTGACATGATAAAAACATCACAGAGTGGTATAAGCTAGCATACATGCAGAAACCTTCTGACGCTTTTCTCAAACCAAATTCAGGCAGTTATCAGGTCCAGGGGTACAGTCACATAGTATTAACGTAAATTCAGGTGGTTTTCAGGACCAGTGATGGACTCGCACAATATTCAAAATACTTCTCTAAGGGTGATTCCTTTTTTGTATGGTGAGTTAACATATATATCCATACACACACTTTTAAAAATTCAGAAGACAAAGTGCAGCAGAAGGAGGAAATATATTAGAAGAAGCATGCTAATGATTTAAGATACTACAAAACTGATGAAAAGAGAAAATAGTCAGTCTTTATCTCCATTAGGTGTATCTAAAAATGAGAGGGAACTAACATATCACACAAAAGCTGATAAAAATTAGAAAATACTAAAAATTTTCCACCAAACTGTAAAATTTATAATTACTTACCTAAGAGCCAAAGCATTTGGCTGATTTGATAGATGGCTATCTTCATTTTTAGTTTCTTCCTCATCTTCTTCATCACCATAATCAAAATCTAGCAATTTCTAAAATAAATAAATAAAAAATATTTTATTCCATACAAGTAATATCAATATAACACTTTAACCATAACTGTTCCTCCCCTTCCAAAATCTAATAAATGATTTAATCAAACTTTATTAAAAATTAGCCTCCATGTGAATGACTGATTTTAATAAAGCTCTGAAAAACTAGATCATATTTCAGTGTTTGACTTTTTCAGGTGATCTGAATAGATCACAAATACAAACACTAGAGACAAAATTCTGTCTACATAAAATGGCAAAAGACTAGACACAAAATTATATCTAAATAAAATGGCATCTTACTGTTTGAGAAAGAATGCTCACCATCAACGCAAATCTCCACCTATTGTTCAAACAGAATTCATTCACAAATGTAACTTCTGAAAATGTATTATTAATTATCAGAATAATCAATTAAAAAATTCGTAAAATCCACGCTATGCATCTTTTCTGAATTCTAGAGATCTGGTACCATCTGCATTACAAAAAATAAAATCTAGTACTTAGGCAGAATGATATAATTCAGTACACAAGTACAAAATCTAGAACATACTATGTGGATCCATTTGCAAAAGATGTAATAAAGATTGCAGAAATTACCAAAATAAACATTTCCAATTACAATAATTCAGCAAAGATCATCAAGATCTTTCAGTTTTAAATGCGGTGCTTTTATTCTTGTATTGCTTGTATATCCCCTGCCAACGGCCCATACAAAGACAGCAAATGTCAGCAAATTTTCAATGTGTCAAATGACACATTGAATGGCACACTCCAAATGTCCATGTGGAGTGTCAAATGACACACTCCACATGGGAGATTATTGACAACAATAGCTAACGTAACAAGAAGAATCATAACTTCACGTTTTATATCAATTCTGAAAATTCTGTGGAATTGATGTGGATGCCTTGGATTCCAGATAATCCCAGAAGTAGAATTTCATCGGAGATTGGTGGGGATCGCAGTGGCCATGAAACTGCAAGTTAACGAAAGATGACTCTTAGCTCCAAAGGGATGTTGCAGCACATGCCGAACACATGTGGCAAAGTGGTGGAGGAGCACCATTTTACATCCATACAAAAACATCTATCATTAAACACATTTTAATTTCTGTAATTTGTAATTCTACAACATTGTTGAATAACCGAGTACTTGTGATGGAGCACATTTTCATACTTGTGAAAGTAACCTCTTCGAAGAAATACAGACAATTCCCAGTTACATTACAGTTACCAGTTAAGGAGAAATGCACCTCATATGTTCATAATATCCACAGCAGCCACCTGCCATCTTCATCACATCTGATGAGAAAAAAATCTACAAAGTCGACATGCTGTTGCTTTGTCTGCAGGTTCCAACATCTGGACACACTAGAATTGAAAAAACATCCAGAAAACAGATGATCGAGAATTGTGGTTTTCGGCACATCCAAAACAGTAGGCAATACCTCTTGCAGCATGCAATGGACCCACAATAATTTTATTATACACTTCCGCTGGAACACATGGTCATTCGGATCGTGGTTTATAACATATGCATCCAGTTTCTTCATTTTTTTTTTTTTTTTAAACCAAATAGGGCACACAATGCCTCATTCAGCTTATGATTTCACCGTTAAAACTGCACTACTTTGGCAGCATTTTCCCCATTTAGGTAAAAGAGCTTTATCAATTCACCTCGTTGCTTCCTTTTAAGTGTCATCATTGCTACCACATTCAAACATCTGACTGAAGAGACAATCTTCTTGTGCTGCTTAATAAAGTTTTTCCAGCAGCAGCGCTTTGCACATGGCGTTCTATGATTCATGCTTCTACTGTCTATCCCTTGAAATTATGCAAAGTGCATTTGCACCTCTTCTGTGTGTCATCATTTGTTCTTTACAATGCTCTGCCTTGCACATAATTTATGTCTGCAATTTCTGTCGCACATGTATTGTTCCAGCGCCATTTATGGTTTTCCATTAAGCTGATCCACTTATGCAGGGGAGGGAGTGGGTGTTACCATTTGAAAATTTTCAAATTTTATCACTATCACAAAATTGTGAAAGCCCTATTATTTTTAACAATCACAACCTCAAGGGCATATTTTCAATTAACAATATCTGAATTTTCATTTTAAATGGCTGAGCTGACAGGCCACTAGGGATTCAAAATTTAGAGAAGTTTTTTTACGACTACCGTCTATATCAAATTTACTTGGTCAGCTTAAAAAACTGATTACATTATACAGCTATTACTGGTCCTCACCTTTCTAAGGACTATATTTATCAGAGACAAAACAAATTAATTTTAAGTCACTATACATACATAAACCTAAGAATTTTATGTTTCTGCATTTTCAATATAAAATAAAGAAACAAAAAATATCTTTAGTATACATCAGCCTTCTGTACCAATGTTATTAGTGCATATAAAGTTCAATATAAAAGGAACTTAAATAAGAAATTGACACTAAACAGAATATTTCTGATTCTGGCAAGGGCAGAGTTGATTTTTCAGATTTCGACTCTGAAAGGGGAAAAAAAAAAAAAAAAAAAAAATCTAACATAAAATTTTCCAATCATAGTGCATCGGCAATTGATGATGAGAATTACTTTCTTGTTATCAAGTAGCACATATAGTACTGTTATTTGGAATTCAACTTCAATGCCAATTGGTTCACAGAGTAATATGAATCTAGACAAGAAAAAATTATATGAAACTTAGCCTTTTAAAAAATTTATGCATTATCCCATCAAAGGAGAAGCTGAAATGTATGGTTTCAAGAAGGGCAATGTCACTAAAAATTATATAATTTTTTACTACATACAAGCAGCAAGTTAAAATACAGTTCATAATAAAAGATAAAGAGTTTCATATTTTTTCAGGATGAATAAAAAGATTTAAAAGATAAAGAACTCGTATACTCTTATTATTATTATGACAAACTTACTTTGTTGAATTTGACAGTATTTTCTTCGGGTGGCTTTTCTACTTTCATTTGAGTCTTAAATAACGAGGACCTTGAAACATCATCATCTGCTGAATTAGACATTTCAGCCTTGGTGAATTTTTCAAGGTTCTTTGTAGACATCTGAAAATTTGAATCAAAACTACTTTGAAAAATGTTTTTATTCTTATATGCTACATAAAATTTATGATTTGAAGAAATTAAAAATAAAGAACATAACTAATCTTTCCATACTAAGTAGAAATATTCTTTAATTTTACATGCTAAATTAATTAAATAATTCTACATTCTAAATTGCTACTCTTTAGAAACATGACATTCGCAAGCACTTACGACAAATGTTATTTAAGAAACAATAGTGCTATCCCACAAATTAATCCTTTCAGAAGTTTATTCACATTTCAGAAATCAAATTTTACTCACTAAATTATTTTAGAATATAATGATAACATTAACATTCATTATACACAACATACAATAACATTCCTCGAGTTCATATAATTATCATTTCCTTTCCTACTTATATAATAAAAAAAATTCTATTAAGCTTGGAAGGATTTGAATTTGAAAAAATATAAAATTTTGCCAAAATGGAAATGACTCATTAAGATATTCAATATTTAAGAAATAGCAATAAAATAACTATGAGAAATAAAACTTCCTTTTAAGCTTGCTCTTACTGCTCACTTGATATCAAGATAACATAACAGAAATAAAAATTAAAATGTATAGTGTCTGTGAAGCATGGGGGCACTCTAAATATGCAGTGAGCCAAAAGTACTCTCGAGATGTTGATGGTAGGGAAAGAGGGGTTGGAGACCCTTGGACCTGTCTTTTCCGGGGGGGGGGGAGGAGAGAGAGGAGAGTCTCCATCAAAATTGGGGTCGGAACTAAGTTATACTGTCACACAATGAATTTCGGGGTTTTGCTCGGATTTCAGACACCTGATCTGATGTTACTGTTGATCGGGTGGGATGAGCCACAAACAAATACAAATATATATCATTTTGGACACAATGCTTAGCACAATCATACATTTTTTAGCATGATTTTTCATACTTGTAAATTACAGCGTAAAATTGTTACAGCTGATACAACATTTAGTAAAAACCATGGAACTGATTAGTTTTTGAAGATACCAAATTATAAATAACACTGATAAAATGATTTACCAGTGACACCCCCCCACCAAAAATAGTTCAGTGACTCCATTTTGTAGCATAAAGCCATAATTTCTTCGTCAGGCTGCCCTTTTATATAACAGAATTGCATAGCAATCTTACTATTCTAAATCAGTTCATTTTGGTTATCATTCTTCACCTCAACAAACATTATCTCTAGTCAGTCTAGTTTAAATAATATTCTTATGGTTCTTAATTTAAAGAAAAATAATATGCCCGGGCTGAGATGATTTAGAAGATAAACAACACACATTTTTGTGTGTGTTGTTTATAGTTTATACAATTGGGGGGGGGTTGGAAAGGTGCTTTAAAACACTAATTTTTTAAAACTTATGTTTATGATATATTGCAGTGAGCTAACCTAATTGTTTGCAATTTTAGGGCACCAATATAATCTCGTACTTTAATTAAGTTTTTCACATTCTCTAGGTTAAAAACTTAAAAATGGTCCAATGTCACAACAGGAATGACTATCCATCACTGTTGCCAAATGCATAAAATAAAGGGTACTTACATATTAATGCAACTATCTAGCCAATTTTTAACTGAAGAAAAAGGGAGAGTGTTTAAAATTGCAAGCTTTTTTAAATTTATGCATGTTTTACCTTTTACTTTAACATTTATCCCAAAAATCAAATCAATAAGCCTTCTTACAAATATGTTTCTGTTCCTTTTTTCCCAATGGAAATTTTATGAGTGCTTTAAGAATAAATTTAAACAGTTATTCCCTTGATGACTTTTAGTAAAATGCTATATTCTTGCATAAAGTTGTCACAATTTTCTCTGTTGCAAGCAAATTTCAGGATCACATATTTTAACAACTGAGTTTAACATAAAAGACATTATTTTGCTATTAAAACATCTGGAACTTGCAATACAACAAAAAGAATGCATAAGGAAATAACAACATTACTAAGTAAAAAGAAGAATTATGTAAGGTTGCCTGAAGAATTGCTATGGCATGGTTACAAGAGTTTGATGCATTTTGGAGATTTAGCGACTTTTTCTAAGGTGGTTGCATTAATACATATTACTATTTTAGAAACAGATAATAACAGGAACTTTTGCTCAGTAACAGAAATCACAGGAAGCATATTCATGGCCTATCTAAGGAAACTGAAAACAATATAAGGAATTTGGAATACAACAAAAAGAATGCATATGAAAATGGAGACACCATTTATTAAAACAGAAGAATTATGCATGGTTCTGAAGAATTGTTACGGAGTGGTGGCCCAAGTAGTTTGATGCATTCTTGAATATTTGGCGATGACTTCTAAGGAGGTTGTGTTAATATTAAGTTCTTTTATTTCATATGAATCAATGGCACTTTAAATAGTACAAAAGCAATACAATCAACAGATAATTAAGACAGAAACTCTTCAGCCACTAACTTCTGCATAAGTACGATTTTCTGGAACTGATTCTTCATTATTTTGAGGCCATCCCTTCCAGGAAGATTGATCCAACCCTTTATGACGAGATATTTGGCTATCTTCATTCACCGGATAAGCTTTGGAAATAAAGTATTATTTAATGTTTGCATGTAAAAAAAATGCAGAAAATCTTAACACATAGATGATACATTTGCTCAAATAAAAGACAGTCTCATATATAAAACAACACACACACATGTCTAACACATAAACAATCTTGCATTTTGAAGACAGTTTACCAGAAAAAAAAAAAAAAAAAGTTTGCATAACTTTATCAGAGCTTAAAATGTTGAAGAAATTCTGAGTGAGAACATATTAAAAAATTTAACACTATCTTTAGAGAAAAGAAAAAAAAAAAAAAAAAAAGCAGATATATATATTTACTTCTAACTTAAACAATAAGAGACATTTTTAGCACATTTTTCAAGATTTAGGCTGCATACTTTTTTTTTTTTTTTTTTTTTTTTTTTTTTTTTTTTTTTTTCTTTTTTTTTTTTTTTTTTTTTTTTTTTTTTTTTTTTTTTTTTTTTTTTTTTTTTTTTTTTTTTTTTTTTTTTTTTTTTTTTTTTTTTTTTTTTTTTTTTTTTTTTTTTTTTTTTTTTTTTTTTTTTTTTTTTATGGTTTAGGACAGCATTCTCATATTTGCGACAAAAGGGTTCGTAGCTACATTTTAGTTAAAAAAATAAGCACTTTTCAAGCACATTTTAAGAAAAAAAAATAAGCACCTGCCTAATTACATTATACACAACTGCATAACCTTAAAAAAAAATTAGACTTGTAATTTAAAATATGAGAAATGCAGTATTTATTAAAAGAGAATGAGGTAGAAAACAATTACCTTTTATTTTATTTATTTTTTTTAATTTTAAACAACAGTTCAATTTACAGAACTAGTTTACAATGAGAGAAAAAAAAAATGATGAAATTTCAGTTCAAAATAGAGAAAATAAATAATAATAAGCCATATTTATTCTTCCACTCATATAATATTTAAATAATTTAACTTAAATCAAAATTCTGAACATTTTCTAAATTTTCATTGTACAACAGTTTTCTCTTAACATATATTGCAAGCAAAGTAATTTAAGTAAAAAAGAGGAACATTTCTGAAATCAGAAGACGGGAAATTGCTTCATGCAGTCATCCTTTAACAGTAAAAGCTTAACTAACCCGCATACTCAGAAATTGCCGAATATTCTGGATAGTCGAGCATAACTGGAAAAAGAGGGGTAGATTGTAGCCGTTCTTTAGATTTTTTGGCTAAATAAATGCTTTGACATTTCAATATGTGCATCATATAAAAATAGACCAACGGAACTGAAAAATATTCTTCTTAGCAAAGACAGTAAAACTCTTTTAAGTGTTCATAAACAAATCTCAGAACAAACATCAAAATGAATTACCTCTGCAAAATATCACAAATGTTATTGCACAATATGTGCGTCATAATTCTTCGCGATATTATGCAATTGGAACAAAAGCTGTGGGTATTCGGAGAAAAAAGAACTAGATAAAGGGAAAAAAAAGAGACTTAACGATCTGGGGTGTTTTTCATTCTAATTTTGAACAGACTGTGTTAAATTTCCGGAATAGAATCATTCTTCGCTTAGGTTGGTAGACAGCAGAACTTTTAGTCCTATTCAATCCAGATTGAAAAGTGGAAAAAAAAAAAAAAAAAAAGGCCTTTAGCTTGTTTTGCAGTGAACTGTAGCGGCTTCCATATTCGAGATTTTGTGGAGAAAGGGAAGAATCTCCCAACCTCTGTACTGTATAATGTATTGGGGGGAAAAAATGAAATTATTTTGAATATTTGATTACTTTCCCTTTATTTAAGCCATTCCGAATATTATTCCTTAGAAAGCTAATCTGTGTTAAACACACTTATCCATTTTTGGAAGTTTATACTTCAGCAGTTACTGCAACTATATTAATATAAATATTCATGCTCATAATATAAGCATAACGATCATAATAAACAAGAATATGAACTGACCACACGGAACGAGAATGCAAATTATTAAAATCTTGATAGAAATTCAAATGTGCATAGTATTTGGGTGGGAGGAAAAGAATACCTAATGACTGGATTTTCTACCGCTTTCGCAATTCTTTGACCAATAGAACGACGTGCACCTACCTGTCTGTACTCTCGTGCACACCAAAGGTTACGTTAATGCAGAGAAAGGTGGAAAAAGCTATTTCCAGGAGTATGATTCACCAACGTTCCATATAAGGAAGAAAAGTTATTTATTTAGTTTTGGCTTTGGTACGGTAAAAAATGCACGTTCAATTAAAAAAAAAAAAAGCTCTAAAAGCAAAATATAAGCACCTATAAGGGTCTTTATATTTTATTTTCAAACATAAGGACTTATAAGCACTTGTAAGGATTGCTATGAACCTTGGACAATATGAAAATACTGTGTTACAAATAAGTTCCAGGTAATTTCAAAGACCAATCAAGGCAAATAAAAGGTAAGAGAACTATATTTATAAATGCCCACTAATATACTCTTTCTGCTTTATACATACAGTAGAGATGCCCAATACATTGTTCGTGAGTCATATGTGGCTCGCATTGCATATCTGGCCCCTTCTTGATCCTGTGAAGTTAAGTACCAAGAAGTGAAAAGAAAAATCAAATTTCAGTTACATCACACATTCAGGCATATATGACCAAAGCTTTCTTCAAGACAGATCTTCAGAGAGATTTGAGCAGACGTGCTATTTTACACTAAATGTTGCTTAGCAACATTCCTCTAAATGCTCCGCTTGTCATCACTGTGTCACAATGGGTTGTTTTGGACCGAAATGAATGCTATACTGTCATTCTTTGATCCTTACGAACACCTTCATCGTGCAAGGTCTAGTTATTTTATGAAGCTACTATCAGCCTCTTGACATTTTTAGAATCCAGCAAACACAGAACAAATTTTCAAAGTGCATTTAACTGATTTGTTGGTCACTTATTTTACGTATGTTAATCATTAATTTTAATAGATATTAATGATTTTGTAGTTACCCTAATCATGTCATCATATGAGGTGGAAAAAAAGGAAAATGTACCTAGAATTACAACTTCAGCAATGAATGAGAGGACAAATAATTTTCATTAATTTTAAGAATAATTGTATTTGTTTGATTTATGATACAATAATATCTGTTTGGAAAAATGAGCCACATTTAATGACATGATACAACAGGTTTCATATATATATTTAAGGTTGCACATACACATGTAATTCTCAAAGAGGATCAATTACCCAGAAATTCTGTCATTCTTAGTATAGAAACTATGTCTCAAAACGTCAGAGGACAAATAAAAGATGGTTCACAAAAGTGCATTTTCTTGTGTACAGTGTGATGAATCAACAGATATCTGCAATGTAACTCCAGCAAACATTTTTAGAAGACCTAACGACCACTTAGTGAAGGAAGATATACTGTCAGTTTTGCCACTACAAGGCAATACACATGAAAGAGACATATACCAAGCCATGAAGAACCATATAACTGAATTGAACTCTGCTTCAAAAACTTGTTTTATTAATGACACATGATAAATCTGCTATGATTGATTCATCATATTATGTAAGAATCATTCTGCCTTTCCAACCTTTTTTAACTACCACTGCATCATCATCATCAGCAGGTTAATACATTACAAACACACCATGAAATTTGTCTGAAAAATCATAAATTATACTCGTGCTACACTATTCCAGAACAAACTCTTCAAAGTATTCTGAAATTAGATGGCTTAGTAAACGAAAGTCCTGATTTTAGAGCTTCTTCCAGAGATAAAAAAATTTTTAGAATCCAGAAATGAAACTTAGAAAAACTTAAATAGATCACAGCTGGTTATCTGATTAATCAGTCTTTCTTACACACATAATAACCCAGATGAAAAAACTAAATCTTAAACATCAGAACAGTGTATTACAGCAGACTTACCGAGTTAATAGGAAGTAAATGCATTTAAATTAAAATTAAATTTGTGGAAAATATGTAACATTTTATAAGTATGTATATGATCTATAATAAAAAAAATCTGAAAAGTTTCAGATTTTAATTAGTCGCCCAAAAAGGGTTTGTTAAAGCTTTTTACACTTTCGCTGAGCTCGCAGTCTGCTGTTACACTTATTCCTCCTAATACACCCTTTTTTTCCTTTAGCTTTATTATTAAGCATCGACTTACACCATATACAATTAAACAGCAAAATTACAAAAATTTTAAAAGCAGTATATGTTTAGAATTCTTGAAGCAGCATGAAGTGTTGGATATATATATCAGGGATATAATAAAATATGATATTGGTACTGAATTTCTGGCATTTGAAGACAGAGATATAAAAAATTATTTCTATTCTAAGAAATAATTGGTGACCTCAAAATTAACCATTTTAGATTTGGTACTCTCCCCCTGAATTAATACTTTCTCCCAAATTCGAGATCATTCAAAATAAATTACATAAAACTGCTTGAAAAAGGCAACAAAGTAAAATTAACCAATCATGCCTTAGGTTCACATATGAACTTACACAGTATAAATACAGCTTCACAAGGAACTACATTCCTTTTCTCCTGACTTCTGCCATGCAAACATCTCCATACTGCTTATGCTTTCCTGCTTACGCCATACTTTTAAAATAAGTCTACATAAAAAATTTAACAAAAATCCCATTCTTCTTACTCTTGTAAAAAGCGTCGAACAAATAAGTGGGTGATACTGCACTTTAGCAAAAAATTTACTATATTCAATGATGACTGAAAAATAATTTGTCTGCCAAAGAGATGATTTGACATGTTTAAAAATAAAGATGGCGATTCTTCAATTCAGTTTTGTTAGCTGCTTCATCAAGCCATCACCCTCACCCACCACTATCTTCAAATGCCAGAAATTCAAGTATCAAATCCCCGACTGTGCACAAAATATTAAATTTTTTTTCAATCTGTTCATGGCGCAACAGATAAATCACAAAATATTTAAAAACAGCATATCTTTAGAATTTCTGTCAGAGCATTCGAGATCACAATGTTTTATGCCGTACAAAAATGCCACCACTCGTTTTGAGATTGTTTAGTTTGTTAATCAAAACGTTTATTTAAGTTCTCCAAAATATGAAATAGATGATAAAATAAATTCTCCAGGTGCCCATGTTCTGGTGAAGGACCACATTATTCAAAACTGATGGCTCTAGGTACTGTTGTTTACTCACAATGCGAGAAGCACACATACATTCATGCAGATCCATTATTTAATTTCTTTAAATATAATAAAGAGCAATAATATTTGCTGGTAACAATTTGAAAAGTGAAATGACATTGACTGTGACTCAACACAAAATGTTTCAAGACTAATATCCCATTTGGGACTAATGCCCGTTTTGGGCCTAAAAAAACATTGCAAACAGACTTTTGAATACTCACAGATGAGAAAAATTATTCACTTTTAAAAGAAACTTTTTATAGTCATTTTCAACAATAGGATAACAAACAAAGAACCATCCAAAGAACTGCATGAATTTAGCCATAGCATTGTATGTACCAGAATACAATAAGCTCACAGAGGACATGCAATGTCAGATTTCACATTAAAATACGCTTTTCCTATATTTAATTTGCAACTTATTGAATAATAAATAATAATTATAATAAATACATAATTATATCTTTTTCTTTAGCATATTATACTACATTTTTATACTCTATATATGTTTATAACTGAAGTATTAAAAGTGTAAAACATAACTGCAACTCGGGGAAAATTTCTAAATTTTGAATTGGCTTGCATTAAAGTTAAAACATTAGACACCACTGACATACAGCACTTTTTTTTTTTTTTTTTTAATATTTACAGAAATGTTATATTTTCAGGAAAAAATAAACTTAACATTTTATATTTGATTTATTTTAACAAGTAAACACATCATGAGTTAAGAGAAGCAAGTATCCAAAACACAAAGAAACTGAAATAACTCACATTTATTTACAGTGCTTTCTTTGGCAGTATCAGCTGGTGTATCAACAGACCCTGTAAGAAATTGAAACACTTTTTTTTAATGCAAAAAGCTTTTTAACCAAACATACACTAAAAATTTATTGTTATGATAATTTACAAGCATATATGGTCATTGAATATGTACTGGCTGGAAAACATGGGTCACATTCAGTAACATAATAAAATAAAGGCACAGAAAGATTGTTACCCTTTAGCATCATTACAGAAACTGAAAACCTAATTTTAATATTAACACAGATAACTTACTCATGATTGCAACAAAAGAAAAAAAATTCATTTCTTAGAAAACTGAAGATCATAATTTAGCTTCAATTTTCAATATGCAAAATTATCTTTAAAAATGTATAAAACTTGTAAATACCAAATTACAGTCAAAAATCTTGATTCCGGACGTCCATAATCCGGACCTCAAAGCTACAAACTTTCTGCACATGCATAAACGCATAATGCGTTTACGCATGCGCATAATACCTTTACGCATGGGCGTTTAATGTATAACAGACAGTATAAGCTAAGCTAAAATTATCTATTTCAGTTAATGTTGCAGATTGCGTTGTTCCTTAATCATCAAATTGGATCCGGCTTATTACTTTTTGCAGACTGTTAGAGCAATTTTATAAAAGTAAGCTTGAACTTTCGATTATGTTAAAAAGAATTTCCAATTCTGGAGCTGCCAAAGGTCTACAAAGCGAAAGCATGTTTCGATGTCCATCAATCAAAAAGAGGAATTGCTGCAAAAAATGGATAAAGGCGTATCCTTTGTTTTTCTAACTATTCCGAAATCTATTTATCAATTTCACGCTGCTCTGCGGTGGTGGGGGGAAACGTTGCGGCGCGCAATGAACTGGAAGTTGATCTGTCAGCACTATTCTTATCTTCAGGGCAGATGTTTTTATTTTATTCGGCTTATAATTCCTTACTAAATGTAGCATTTCATCTCGATGTACTCCATCTTTGATATGCTGTAAATCAAATTTCTCCTCATTATAAATATCACGAATACACATCAAATAGTTTTCTGGTCGCAATTTTCTAATTTCGACTATGCGTAATGTATGCTTTACACATATGCGCATTGAAAGAAATGTTTAATAAAGTAAACAAATAAATATTAAGCTTTTTTCTTTTAAATTTTGATATCCTTTAGGTCATAATTGCTCTTTATTTCATAAATTATGGTTTCATATTTTTAATTTTATAATTTCTGCATGCCATCTTACCAGATTTAAATTGATAATCTATAATCCAGAAAAATCGATGATCTGGAATCGCCGAAGTCCTGAGGAGTTCGGATTAAAGACTTTTGACTGTATTTACTTTTATTCTAGTTTGCATTAAAAATGCATAATACTTTTTATTCCTGCAAAAATCTTTGACTAAATCATCAGATTCTCAATCTCTTGTTCACATATAACTTATCATATTTCTGGTAACGATATAAGTTTTACTAGAAACCTTAAATTGCACATCTATAGCTTTAAAATACTTCAAGTCAATTTTAAAATTATTTGAATAAACATAACTAAACTACAGCTATTCCCTACTTTTTATATTTTATCAAACATACACTACTCGACATTGAAAAACACAAAGAATTGGCGAGAAAGTGATGAAACTCAGCAATCAGAGTGACAGCACAAAATAATAAGTGATCTTTATTTTGAAATGAAATTCATAATACTGAGTAAGAACAGCGTCAGCTGAGCAGGTTGAAGGACTACTTGGTGGCGATATACAAAGCAAGACATCTAGGTACAGAGTCAATGAGACTAGGGATGGTGTCTTAATGACTAGCTCTCCATTCCCTGTAAACCATTTGCCACAATTCATCTGTTGAACATGGGAATGATAGAATCTGTAAATGGCATCCAATCACATCCCCAATGTGTTCAACAGGTGATCAGGAGAAAACAGTGGCCAGGAAAGCATCTGTTCACCTTGCAGAGCACGTTGACTGATGCTTGCATTGTTCGGGCATTATCCTGCTGATAAAGAGCATTGAACACTCCCTGAAGGAAGGGGAGTGTCATTGGCTGCAGCACATTATACACGTATTTTTGGGCTGTCATAATGCCCTCAATACGAACTAGGAGTGACCTGAAATTTTATGCAATTGTGCCGCTAACATGATGCTGCGTTCTTGCGTGGTGGGATGTTCTACAATTGTTGCCAGATTGGACCTATCTCCACACTCATAAGTGAGGACTATCATTGAAGAAACAGAAGCGTGATTTATTTGAGAACACGACTCTGTGCCATTCCGTCCTCCAGATCACTCGAGCCCAGCACCATTGTAGATGTTGGCATAAATGATGTGGGGCTCAATGGCAGTCTTCTTAACAGATGCCACGAGTACAGCCCACTAACCACCATTGGTTTTGGTTGATATGGCAAATGGTTCTGGTCAATATGGAAACATCCAAGTGTGTTTTGAACATGCTGCAGAATTACTGGTGCACCACCACTTGTTTGCAGATGCATCAATCCATGTGGGCTGACATCACTCTACCTGCATCGGCACCCCTCGAACTTGCCACATTTCCTTGTTCCAACCATTGTCCACACAGCCGGTACACTGTGGCAGTGTCCAGGTGCGTGTCAGCTGAGATTTGCCATAGAGACTAACCTGCACTTCTCAGCCCGATCACCGTGCTCCCTCGTAAAATCGTCTGTCTGCTGGAATTGCCTCTGGTGATGATGGCCTGGAATTCTCTGTTATTATACACGTCCTCTGAGACAAGAATAAATTTTCTCTGAGGATTTCGCTAGCAGAAACAACGGCATGAAAATTTAACACTCTGCAGTTTCCTTCCCTTATATCTTCTTCAATGTGTGCTGGAGAGCTGCACATTTGACATCATTTGCATAACTTGAGGAAGTGTATCTATCATGAAATTTGCAAAATTTTCAGGCCACTCCTTCTTGGTGTCACATTTTCAATGTTGGGTAGTGTGTTTATATATATTCTTTTACATTTATTACTCTGGTTTTGCATATTTTTATATTTTACTTCAGTTACAGGGTAGCTTTAATTATTCAAAGTCATCAAAACATGTTTAAAAAATTTGGTTAATATGGGAAATGCCTGTAATGAATAACTAATTTGGTAAATTCAAATCTCTCTCCAGTTAATATTTGATTCTTGAACCATTACAATTTCTTTTAATCATTATTTCTGCATTCATAACATGCTTATTTTAAAGCTTCAAAATGATTGAAAAAATCAATTTCATTAATAATTAAATTTTAACAAAAAATTATGAAGACTAAAAATTAACAAATTAGAATAAACAGTAAATTGCCACAAAGACTAGGATAAGTGATTGAGAAAACAAGACTTTCAATCAAGTTTTACAATTCTGATGATATGAAACATCAAAAATACACAGTAACATTAAAAAAAAAATAATAATAATAATAATAATTAATCTATGTTACATCCATATCTCAATTTCAGAACATTTTCTGACAAACCATTTTTCAATATGGAGAAAACTCGGCTCCTGAATGCAATTCATTCCTGAACGACTTCAGCATTTGAAATGTTCATACATCAAAATGTTTTTCTCATAGGAATTAATGTAAAATACACTGGTGTGCAAAAATTAAGGACGAAGTCGAAAAATTAGCATATCAGCTGAACGAAGAGGCAGAGCGGACAGAAAGACCAATCAGGAGATTAAGTAAGGTGATGTACGATAACACATGCGCAGATATGCAGGTAGACGTAATGGGGGAGTGTCTGAGTAGTATAAAGCATGTTGTCGGTGTAAGATCAAAGAGATTGCACGCCGTATAGCAATTAAAATCACACCGAGTTGCTGGCTCAGCGAGAAATGGCAAATAATCAATCTGTTAGACGACATCTGGATGCTTTTACCCGAGGTCGAATCATTGGGAAGTTGGAGGAAGACCGCAGTGTGACAAGTGTGGCTGCAGAGTTCGGAACTGCTTCCAGCATCGTTTCACAACTTTGGAGACAATTTCAAACTACAGGAACAGCTATCCGGGGGTTTAGTAGTGGTCGTCCTTGAGGAATCACACCCGCAGATGACCGGTATATTGCCTTACAGGTCAGAAGAAACAGGTGGCAGACAGGGGGAGAAATCGCTAGACACACGACACAGGCGACTGGATGACCAATATCGCGTTTTACCGTAGCCAGAAGACTGCACGGTGGTGGTCTGTTTGCACGATGCCCTGTATGGTGTGTACCTCTAACGCCTGCCCATCGGAGAAGGCGTTCTCTGTGGTGCCGGGAACACCGGAATTGGAGAGACAATGAATGGGGACGATTACTCTTTACAGATGAGAGCAGATTCAGTCTGAGTAGCGATTCTCATCGCATACTCATCTGGAGAGAGCGGGGAAGCCACAATCATCCCTCGAACATCATTGAAAGGGTCAGGTATGGAGGTGGCGGTGTTCTCGTTTGGGGAGGCATCATGCTTGGTAGTCGTACAGACCTTCACATCTACGACGCAGGTTCAGTCAACGGGACACGTTATTGTAACGAGATTCTTCTTCCATATGTGCGTCTTTTTAGAGGCGCTATGGGTCTGCAGTTCCTTTTCATGGACGACAATGCACCATGTCATCGCACAGTAGCTGCCGAAGAGCTCTTAGAGAGTGAGGATATTGAACGTATGGATTGGCTGGCATGATCTTCGGATCTCAATCCCATCGAGCATGTATGGGATTTTCTAGGCAGACGCTTGGCAGCTCGTACCTTACCACCAGTAACGATTCCGGAGCTTCGATTGGCGCTGCAAGACGAATGGGCAGCAATGCCTCAACAACTCAGTGACACCCTCATTCTCAGCATGGGCAGATGCTGTGAAACCTGCCTAGCAGTCAGGGGAGATCATATCCCCTATTAAAGACCGGATGTTTCTTGCTGAACACCCGTTACAGGGATGTTTCGGCGTTCAGTCGCATTGCGCTCCATGCTACTTTTTCAATAAAGCTTCTTTTTATCCCTCTGATTTCTCTTTTAGTAAGTGTTGCTTACATTACTCATGTCCTTACGTATTGGGGATCTTACGGTATTAAATGTGCTGATTTGGAAAGCTTTTGTACAAAGTTATATTGAAAAAACCGTCTCGTCCTTAATTTTTGCAGGCCAGTGTATATCAATCTATTCTTGGACTACAGATGATTGTTTATTTAAACTTTAGAAAAGTATTTTATGTGCAAGTTCATAACATAAAACTAAGATAAAAATAATGCTAAATAAATGTTAAATAATAAACAAATAACTTAATTTTACCATTCTTGTGGATGGCATAAGTGCAGGGTAATGGGGAAGAGAGAAAGAAGAAATATTATTTGGATATTATTTATTCACAATTCTCATATGAGTTGTATGTTGCCACTGGAAACCAAGTTTCAAGGACTTCTTTTATAAGAAGGCTTCACGAGATAGCGGTATGTGCAAGAAGACGCACAGTTAGCGTCCTGTTTGGTGCAAGACAGAGGAGAATGTGTTTAGCATTGCGGTGCAATTCTGAAATTAATATTAACAAATACTACTTAGACAATAAACACCTTAGACTAGACTTGTGCTTATTACAGATGAGATTTAGCCTGGATACTGATTCTTCACATAGTTTGAACTGGAGAGAGCTTGAACACGATACCATCCCTCCATCAGGGAAAAGGATCATTACAATGGCATTATGTTGCACAGCCCCACACCCCTGCATGTGTTTGACAGAGGTTCCCTGATTACTATGAGGTATAGAGAGATCTTAGAGCTCTGTGTTCAACTTTTCATGGGTGCAGTTGATCATGGGTTCTTGTTGATGGATGACAAGGCCCGTGCACATAAGGCTCCACTGGTCCACAATTACTTGGAAAGCGAGGACATTCATAACACGGATTGGCCAGCCAAATCTCCTTACCTTAACTCTATAAAACATGTCTGGGGCACTCTTGGGACAGTATTTTCACCTCGCTATCCCTATCCAACAACCACCTCAAGGCTGAAAACTGCCGTGCTGTAGGAATAGGGTTAAATACCACAAGAACTCCTCAATTGCCTCCTGTCCAGTACGGCATTATGCTGTGTCTGACTATGAGAAAGAACCATACCCCATGTTAATCATGCTTGACTTTTGAATGGTACATCACCTTCTCTTATAAATATATATATTCATACCAAATTTCATTAAAAGGTGTCCCAGTTTTTCAGAATTGCAATGCAATTTACAAAATTCTCTTAATTTTGCACTCAAGTGTATTTAGAATATATAGAAGAAACAGCTAATTTTATTTGCTTCATATATGAGTATCAAGAATAACTCTGAAAGGATACATGATCAGGGCCAGTGCCAAAACAGTGTGGCAGAACTTTTAGAATTTAGTGAGGCACTGATCAGCAAAATTTAGGGATGGTAAAATGTTTAGAATTTACAATTGGCACTGGGCAACAGAATGTATGGGTGGCAAAAATTTTAGAATTTAGGATCTACACAGATGGTAGCAAAATACCCCACATAATAAACCCATGTATATGGTGCACTAAGCCATACACATATATGAAGCTTTTAAATTGTCACTTTTCAATTCCATTATTAATACAAAAATTCTTTTCTATAGATACCTACTCATGTGACAAGATTAGAACCATTTTTGAAAAGGAGGATGAACATGTTAAGAGAAATACTTCTAGGATCAAAAGCGGAAGATTTAAATAATTTTGTTTTCGCTGCTCTTTAAAAAATTTCTAAAAAATAAGAAAAATTCACCACAAACTTCCTATGAAGCACATCCATTATGTGACAATTCTGAAGTCTACTAAAAATCTGAAATAAAAACTATCCATACTACCCGTGTAAGAGCAAAAAGCTCGTGAAGATTTTTGAGAAAAAAATTTAGAAAAATATAAAGTGAATTTTACAGGGAAAATTGATACACATTGGAATATTCTGATGAAAATTACAGGAAATAAAACTTTTATGAAAAGTATAAAAGAGACAAATGAAATTAATTTTAAATTTAATTACAGTAGCTTTTTTGCCTTTGCTATGAAATGTTTCGAAAACTGCTTTCAATAGGATGCATTTATTATCTTGCTTATTTTTCAGAATCAAAATTTTATTAAGTGGCTAAAATGAAAAGCAATGTCACAGAAATTCATGTACAGATCCAAGACTTCCAATGAAGTGAGAGGTACTGTTTATCTTTTTGTGAAAATTGATGGGATATGGCCGCTACATCTTAGGTCGCCTATCTCTGCTTTTTTTCAATGATTAAAACTGATGAGAAGGAACACCTTATCTTGAAAATGCATCTGCTGTTTGCAAACCTATGCTATTTGGATAATTTATAAAACCACGACAAAAATCTTATGATTGTGTTGTGAAGTGTCGCTTATCCATTATCAGAACTTCCCTATTCCACTATTAGTACATACTATCACTTTAAAGCATGGTACAGGAAAGTTGAAACGTTTTATTTTACTGTTATTTCTTAAATATAATTTTAACATATCATTATTTTAATTATATCTAAAAATATTATGTTTTCAAAAAAAAAAAACTGTCGGAAATTCGCAAATCTGCGAATCGAAGATCACAAAAACTAACCTTAAAATCAGCAAAATAATAATAATAATAAAAAAATAATAATAAGTTGGCAAACTTAGTGGAACGTAATAAAAGAATTCATACCTCAAAAAGAGAAAATTTGCTTTTGATGTATAGTTTATAAACTCTTCATTTTCAAAAAAGAAATAATTTCAAAATGTCTACGTTTCGATCAGCATTGTGTTCAGAAACTCGAGTATCACACCCTTTATATTAGAAGCACGAATGAATTTAAGCTATAACTCATCAAATACATACATGTCAGTGAATCATCAAATACATACATGTCAGTGAATCATCATATAAAATTCCTTCAAAATGCTAATTCACACTCAAAATGGCAGTCATAAAAAACAGATGTTAGATGAGTAAAATTAAAGATTTTTAAAGACCAAAAGTTGTTTCTAAAAAACTTAAGGAGTTTTAATGAATGTATAATACATAAAAAAGGCCATTCAAAACCTTCTGTTGCCAATTCAATTGCTCATATTTTGTATACCATTTATCACTTAAGATGCTTTTCATTCAGATAATTTTTTCCCATAAACCAATTGTTCAAACATTAAAAAAAATGTAAAGGACTAATATGATGGAAAATTTCACATATCACATAACTCTGTCATAAATCTGCATAAAGAAGCTACATTTCATCATTCACTTTATTTTAATACTCATTTATATCACAATTGTATACCCCATTCTTTCAGATTACTTACATTCTGTAGAAGTATTTGGATGTCCCATATCTAGAAGAGGTTGAATAACATCAATTGGGAAAACATTATTTTTCTGCCACAGATTCAATACACGAATGATTTTTGGCTAAAAGAAAAAAATTATTTAAATGTTATGAAAGAAAATTAATTAAAGTCCCTTCAATTCAAGTTTTATACATTACCAAACAAAATGTTATACTTACTCTATCATCTTCAGCACATTTAAATAAGTGTTGAAATGTTGTTGTTATGTTTTTAACAAAACGAGGTCCAAATACATCTTTGTCAGCACCAAACTGATGACGAGACTGTCGTACAATAGAATCAACAACATACAAACCGGGAACTTTATATTCTGGTCGACACTAAATATCAAGATTTAATTAATTAGCATATAACATTTAATGAAATAATTTCATTATAATTAATTATACATAATAATATTTTGTAAGTACCAAATGGCAAAAAATTATTTTAATGGAAAAATAGCAAAAAAAGCAAGAAGTAAGTACCAAATGGCAAAAAAATTATTTTTAATGGAAAAATAGCAAGCAAAATCACTGTAAAAAAGTTTGATAGACAATCAAGTTGTTTTTCAATATAATTTAACATTACAACTTCATTATTTATACATTTTTCAAAAATTTAAATCCCCCCCCACAAGACGACTGATTATGTGGAGATATAATTTATTTCAGATAAAATTACACAGATACAAAACAAGATTAATTAATGTTTAATTATAAATAAACACAAAAAGTAGAGCAATTTAAAAAGGAAGTTGTGGAAGCTGTAGCAATCTGCATTAACAGTCCTATCAACATTTTTTTTAAAGTAATGCTTCCTCCACAAAATATTCCGAGAGCACTTAGCAATTTTCTCATCATCGTACAGCTACAAGGAATCACAAAGAAAACAATGCTGACTTAGCTCCACTCTTCAGGAAAATACTAGAAGCCTGAAGTTTAACTTTTCGAAAGTTATTTATCAAAAACTTCTAAACATTGAAAAAGTTGAACTGTATTTTGCACACATTTTCAATTCAAATAACAGGTACAGGTAATTGTACTACAGTACAAGGTATGAGATCCAGACTCATTGGGACCTCCGCGATTCTGGATTTGGGATTTTTCCGGATATTAGATCATAAGTTTAAATTTAGTAAGATGGCATGTAGAAATTATAAAAATATGAAATCATGATTTATGAAGTAATGAAGCATTTATGATCTAAAGGATATCAAAATTTACAAAAAAGTTTCATATTTATTTATTTACTTTATTAAACATTTCTTTCAATGTAACTTGTTTACCTCTTTAATTAGACAGACATAATTTCATGTTCATTTACATTGTTGAAGTCTGCAATACCTTTGTCAAAAATTCCGACTAACTTATGAATCAAAATTTTTCGCTTTCAGTAACCTCTCTGCCACTTTCTCCACTACCGGTAACAGTTTTCTCTGGATCTAGAACTGTACTACAATTTTTGCCATCCATTAATTGATTGATGATTAAGGATCATTGTCATTATAATGAAAAACTTCATTTATTACCACCTCTCCATATCTTCAAATACGTTTTGGCTTTCACTTTGACCGATATCAGAAAATAAACAGCTATTAAATTTACTATCGTTGCATGGCTATATAGATAGTGAAATTAGTATACCTCCTAATATTTTGTCGGTCCTCCTTTTGCCCGGCGAAGTGCAGCAACTCGACGTGGCATGGACTCAACAAGTCGTTGGAAGTCCCCTGCAGGAATATTGAGCCATGCTGCCTCTATAGACGTCCATAATTGTGAAAGTGTTGACGGTGCAGGGTTTTGGGCACGAACTGACCTCTCGATGATGTCCCATAAATGTTCGATGGGATTCATGTCGGGCGATCTAGGTGGCCAGATCATTCGCTGGAATTGTCCAGAATGTTCTTCTAACCAATCGCGAACAATTGTGGCCCGGTGACATGGCGCATTGTCATCCATAAAAATCCCATCGTTGTTTGAGTACGTGAAGTCCATGAATGGCTGTAAGTGATCTCCAAGTAGCTGAAGGTATCCATTTCCAGTCAATGATCGGTTCAGTTGCACCAGAGGACCGAGTCCATGCCATGTAAAAACAGCCCAGACCATTATGGAACCACCACCAGCTTGAACAGTGCCTTGTTGACAACTTGGGTCCATGGCTTCGTGGGGTCTGCGCCACACTCGAACCCTACCATCAGCTCTTACCAACTGAAATCGTGACTCATCTGACCAAGCCACGGTTTTCCATTCGTTTAGGGACCAACCGATATGCTCACGAGCCCACGAGAGTCGCTGCAGGCGATGTCGTGCTGTCAGTAAAGGCACTCGAGTCGGTCTTCTGCTGGCATAGCCCAAGGAAGACAAATTTCGCCGCACTGTCCTATCGGACACGTCCCTAGTACGTCCCACATTGATTTCTGCGGTTATTTGACGCAGTGTTGCTTGTCTGTGAACATTGACAACTCTACGCAGACGTCGCTGGTCTCGGTCGTTAAGTGCAGGTGGTCGGCCACTGCGCTGTCCATGGTGGGATGTTATGCCTGAAATTAGATACTCTCGGCACACTCTTGACACTGTGGATCTCGGAATGTTGAATTCCCTAACGATATCCGAAATGGAATGACCCATGCGTCTAGCTCCAACTACCATTCCGCGTTCAAAGTCTGTTAATTCTCGTTGTGCGGCCATAATCACGTCAAAGCCTCTTCACATGAATAACTTGAACACAAATGAAAGCCCTGCCAAAGCACTTCACATTTATACATTTTCTACGCGATACTACTGCCATTTGTATATTTGCACATTGCTATCCCACGACTTTTGTCACTTCAGTGTATATACTTAAGGAATGTATGTATAAGTATTCTTCATATACTTAAGGAATGTATATATAAGTATTCTTACATATACTTATTGAGGGCCGGCACTAGATATCTTACCGCCTAATGAAGTCTCTATGGGTCCTAAATTCTGCTACTATGCGTATCCCTTTGTCTTCCCTAAATTCTGCTGCCTGGTGCGGCCATACAAGCCATGGCACTGGTTCTGGGTTTATGTTAACGACAAATCAGTTATTTTTAATTCAAATAGCACTAAATGTAATCTTTAACAAAATCCATTTTTAGCATATGGAAAGAAATTTTTGTTAAAAATGTTTCCTCGTCAACATTTCTTAGTGCATTTAACTTAAATCTGTAAACATCATCAAGCATAATATCAACATAAAAGGTTACCATACTCTTTATTATTCAATTACTAACATAAAAAAATTGTTTAGGCATCGCTACATGAGTCATTACTTAAGTTGTCATGTGTTTATAAACATGTGATTATGAAAGTGAAATATAATAAATAATGATTCACCAGGTTGGCATCAAAATATTAGTAGGTGTAAAATCAGCGATGTATCTATGTAGTGTGTTTCAGACATGTAGCAAGAGAGCCAAATTAAATTTATCCTATAATGATTGTTTCTTCAATAACTATGTATTTTATTTAGTGCCGAAGCGGGATTAAAAAATCGGCACCCTCCACACGTTTATTATGCGGGGGGGGGGGAGGAAATCAAATGCACATGTGTAAAGTATATATATATATATAAAAAAAAAAAAAAAAACGACAGTGGCTTTGAGGTCTGGATTTTGGATCATTCCGGATATTGGATGTCCGGATTTCGGACTTTGTACTGTATTACCATTTCCTTCCCCAAAAAATCATGAATTGTAAAATAAGAGGTCGATTTACCCAATCATACATCAACCTGATAGTCGAAATAACTGAGTTAAACAGTATCATGTATACAAGGAGATACAACATATATTTACCAAAAGAAAAGTTACATTCTGATTATAACCTCATCCCACCACCTCCAAGTATGGCAACCCAGGTACGGCGGCTCATAAAAATAAAATGTTGCATTTCTTCAAATATAAAGCATTTTGCCCAACACTAATAACGAAAAAAATTGCATTAAGTTGTACTTCGTAAATGATCAAATTTTATGGACAAAAATTTGTACGACAATGGTGAATTTTTTTAAGTCCTCTCATGTTTATTCAAATAAAAAAGATCATAGTATACATAGGAAAACAACAGTGCCAAATTTGTGCAAATCTCTAATATTTTTAAGTGAACACAGATCGCTGTGAAGATGGAAAAACAACAGCCTGCAGCATGGTAAATCTGTACAACTTTCTGGTATTAAGTGAAAACAAATTTTGGCGTACATGGGTAGAACATGGGGGTAAAAAGTTGTTTCATTACGGATCTTTCTTGCATATTTTTATTTTGTTAAGATGGTTGCTGTTTTATGTAATTTAAGAATTACATAAAACAGGAACTACCATTTGCTGCACTATTTGTGAAAATGGCTCACCTTTCGTATCTTAGTTTTGAGAAAAATTATTTGTCAACAGCTGGCAACTTTTCATGAAACGAGCAAGTTAATCAGAAAGAAAAAAAAAATATTCCCAATCACTTTCAGAAAAGATAAAAAAATTTTATCAATGGGCTGTTCACATGCACTTGTGAGCACATATCAAAAGTGGTGTATGGATGGTGAAACGACAAGTCGCTGACCAGTAGTTTGTCCTTCACGGCACATTGATTCCAGAGGAGAGGGGAGATTGCTACACATTGTTGGCCATGACCGAACAGCTACAATAGCCAAAATCATGACCTTCTACAACAGTGGCAACCCAGTGTTTTTCAACACAATGTGCAGTATACATTGCTGTGTATTGGCCTACGCAGCCGGAGGCCAAAACATGTCCCTGCACTGACGGCATATCATTGCCAGCTACAGCTGCAATGAGCCAAGAAACATCATAATTGGAGATTAGAAGAATGGAAGAAAGTTGCATGGTCCGACGAATCACATTTTCTGGTCCATCACATCGACAAGCTTATGCTAATACAATGATTTCCAAACAAAACCCTGGCTACCATAATGCACAGTTGGACGGAGAAAAGCTGGTTTTATGGTGTGGGCAATGTTTTCATGGAGCACATTAGGACCTATAATACCCGTCGAAACTGTGTTTACCGACAGGATAATGCACCATGTCATAAGGGTCGAATTGTCATGTGTGGTTCGAGAAACATTCCAGCGACTTTCAAGTCATGTTTTGGCCTCAAATTCACCTGACATTAATCCAATAGAGCATTTGTGGTCCCACATGGAAAACCGAATTTGTGCTGCCATGCTATTCTTCACAATGTGCGGGAATTGCAGGACCAGTTGGTGAGCGCTTGGTACCAGAGATCTCCTGACCACCTATCAATACCTTGTACAGTCAATGACATGCTGGGTGCTGGCAGTTTTAAGGGCTAAAAGGTGGTCCTCCATGTTATTAAAAAGGTTCATACAAAAATGGCCCTTCGGTGTATATTGGTTGTTGATCGTTATTCAATAATTTATCAATTTCTGTGGTATTGAGAGATAATCCATTTCTCTCTATTCTCGTCAGGTTGGTACTTTCTCAAAGCTCATTACAACAGGTTTCAGATTTAAGTTTTCAGACATTTTTTACAATACATCTTATGACTAAAATTTCTGTAGTCTGAAAACCCACCTTGTTTTATTTTTTCCCCACGTCTGGAATCGGATCTGTGACCAATTATTTAAAAAGTGTTTAATTCCATAATCTCTATGAAAAACCTGTAGTACAATGGCCAAAAGTTTAATTCATGATTCCACACTGTTTTAATGCACAACACATTATTCTATGCATGGAGATACTTTTACAAGTTAAAAAAAATACAGTTTTAATTATGAAAAGTGGTGATGAAACTTCATAAACCTCCACATTCTACAATAGTGTTACGAAATGTCAAGGAACGGTAAAGAAGCTTTCCCGTAGAGCAAGTTTAGGGTTGTCATAAAATGGCGAGGGAAGGCAGAGTTGCTACATTTGGCGAGAAATCGCTCATTTGGCGTCATTTGCTGACAAAATTGGCAATATGCCATAGACGGATGGAGAACCTTCTGAAACGAATTCTTACCCGTTTAGCCCAGAATGTTCTCGAACACAAGCCAAAAGCTATATAAACCCTGCTAGTCTGCAGTCAGTCAAAGTGTACCTCGTTTAGGGTGCAAGGTAGTTAGTCTCGCGGTAGTCCGTACAGAGTCGATCGAGTTGACAGCCGGGCAGCGAGCGCCAAGTGCATCGAGGAGTCTCTTAGTGTATCATGGTTAGTGCATTGTTGAGAGAGTGTGTTAAGCTCAGGGAACAACTGAACCGAAGAGTCGGGAGCTGTGCTCTCTGTGTCGAGTGCATCGCGAGTTGTAGCGTGAAAAGTCTCGAGAGTAAGTGGAGTTCCAAGAACGACCAAGCAGAATCGGGAGCTGCACTCTGGTGCTTTGCAGTGAAGTTGTCTCCACCGTTATTGCCCGAAAGTGTGAAGTCTGTGTCACTGATTGTTCCAACGTGTTTATAGTAGATCTTCGATGACTGTAAAAGTGTTTTTGAGCTGTCCTGATTAATATTCGTAAATAAAGTGTTTCGATACTTCATCAAGTGTCGTCGTTATTCATTCCAGATCCACATGAACCCCATACGAACGTGAAAGAAGAAAATAATGTAACAACTGGTGTCAGAAAAAAAAAAAAAAAAAAAAAAACGTAACAAATGGTGTCAAAAGTGGGATTTGCGATTGAATGCCAGTGACCCGCCTGCAGAGGAATGCAATGGCGGAGGAAATTTTGATGGACTTCCTGGCTAAGATGAAAGCCAGACAGGAAGAGCTGAACTGAAAGAGATAAAGGCTGGCTGAAATGAAAGCCGGATATAAACAGATGACAGCCGAGATCAAAGCCAGACTAGACAAGAAGAAATAAATGTTGGCCAAAAAAAGGTGCGAGAGCAACTCCAACAGGTGCAAGTGAGACTTACAGAAGAAACTGGAGCCATAAAAGACGATGTGGAAATGAGAAAAGTGGCGTTTGAATAAACAAAGGATGAAGAAATACAGGAAGTAGCTAATGAACTGCCTGAGAAAGATCAAGAAATGATGGATGAAACATTTAACGGGATTAAAGGAAAACAACGAAAACATGAAGAAATAAAAGACGGGAAAGAAGCTTTTGATTCAAAAGTGCCTGAAGTGGAAGAAAGTGAAAACGCGACTGTTAAGTTTGTCAAAACTGATAGTGAAGTTACGAAGTTGCAGGCAGTAAGTATTGAACCATCTGAAAATTTGGTCCAGAGACAAAAGCCCCCCCCCCCAAAAAAAGCCCACTATGATAATTGCACATGCAACAAATGCCCACAGCGATGAAAGCCCACATAGATATAAGTCCACACTGATAAATGCGCACATAATCAAAAGGGACTTATAGTTTTTATTACTATAAAATGTATTTATAATTTTAATTATAATAAATGGAGTATTCAGATCTGAATTTTAATGTCTCAAATATGTCTCTTTGCATATTTTATCAATACTTTGTTTAATTTAGGTTGAAAGCAAACTTTCTGCTCTTTGATTGATTAGCTATAACATTTCGATGATAAATCTGAAATTGCATTTTTTATTTATTTACTTATTTAACTTTGGTATGTGTATGTGAAAATGAAAAATATCATTGTGAAGTTTCTCACATGCCATTTTTAAGGTAATATGGCTGAGATTAAATGTAATTATGTTTCATTATTAAAACTATTAACTTTTTAATTAAAAAACATTTGAATTTTATTTTCTTCCTTTTTAGTTTTTCCTTTAGTTCCTTTTTAGTTTGGTAATATTAAAACAGTTCAACACAAGGAAAACTTCACTAAAAGCTATTTTATTCTTTGCTTTAGACTGAGTTTATTATCAAAGTTTAAACATATTTCTCATTGAAAGCTTTTTTGAATGTAACAATTATAATTTGGCAACTTTCTTTAGAGATATTTTCTTTTAGATTTCTGAATAAATTGAAAACTGTCAGCTTGATGACCCTGTGAGAAAAATGAATTCCAAGTGTAACTCTTAATCTTTCAACTACAGCAATTTGGAATAGTGTTTTTCATTTTCATTTTATTTAATTATTTATTTTGGGGGGGATGGAACAACTCTTAGAAGTCAACATATCTACAAATTTATGTAGTACAATTATCTAAATCTATAGTAACAAATACGTAGCATTTTATTAGAGTTTGTGAAGATTACAAAGAACTATGCATATAACAACATCTAAGAAAATTTTGTAACTACATGAATATACAGTCATCAAATTCAAAGTTCATCATTTTTAGATGCTAAGTATACATATTATATAAATTCATCATTCATTAACAGCATTATGTATAGTAAAAAAAAAAAAAATTAGTATTAATGTTTCAAATTGAAATTTATTTAATAATTTGTCTTGCATTTACTATACATTTGTTCAAGACGTATGGATATCAGTTATAAAACATGAAAAACACACAGAAAGTAGCTAATCTTATATAACAGATGATTGTGAAAGAAAAATTACAGTGCTTTTAAATCTTCCTATTGTAAATAGCCGTTTTCTAATTGACATTAGATTAAATTAATTCCATTATCCATTAGAAAATAATTATAGTGAAATTATATATATTGACGTTTCTAAAAGGTCACCTTTTGAAAGATATCTGTATTTTTGGTGAACATTAACAAACATTGCAGTAAATATCACATTTCTAAGACCATCATATCTACAAACAAAATCCTTTAAAATCGTGAACGGTTGTGTTTAAAGAGGATATTTTTAATAAAACATGTACATCTTAGTTATACACTTGCTACATTTTAATTTTCTGTCAAAGCAGAGGCACAGTGGTTTTTTATTTAGAAGTATGTGAAACTAAAAAAATGGACACTATATGACAAATGGAATTAGATTCAAAAACACACCTCTTGAACATGTCCGAAATTCATTATTCTGCTCGGAATAAATTTACCTAAAGAAAATGTTTAATAAATATTAGAACTCAAAGGCTAAGTCAGATCAAAGTAGTAAGGGTCATTTCGTCTGAATATATCTTCTCTTAATCATAAAGTGACTTTTCGAACAGCGAATGAAACAGGAAAGACAGAATAACGGCAGCGGACAAACGACACTATTTCGAACTCGGCATGAAAAGAGAACGGACGAAATGGCACTAAGCCAAGGGAAGGCATGCCTTCATGGAGGACGTTTTAAAGGAAACTCGCTCATATACATGTTTCACAAGGGGAAAAACCACAAAAGTGACCATGCAGTCAGCCTTTCCATCGGGATTTGAACCCCGGACTGAGATAGCAGTGTTCAGCGTTTTTACCCTTGTTCGCTGGTGAACCTTGTGCCTACATGAAAAGCTTAAGAATTGGATGACTGGTGCTTTCTTAATGTACAGCTTTTATTTTATTTTTTATTAATTTTTTATTCATCTAACTAATTATTTATTTTTTCCAATATTTGAACTTTTCCTCAGATTTATTTTCAAAGAAACAATGTCTAGAAAGTTTTGCGAATGATATATATATATGACAAATAACTTTTCCAAGATACTGTCAAACTTTTAAGTTACACTCAGAATAACAGCAAAGATAAACAGCTAAAAATTTTAAATTTAAAAAACATGAATTAAAATTTTAGCTAAGTGTTCACTCTGATTTGTTTTTCAAAACTTTAAACTTAGAACTTCATGTAGCTTTTATTTTGGGAAAGGAGTCGGAAGTAGTATTCAACTTCCTAACATTACCACAACAATTATAAATTTTACAAGATCTTTATTCCAACTGCGGACTTAGACTTTTATTATTTATCCTCTTCATGATTTTTAGCATTTTATCATTTTTCTCTGTTTCTTCCTTTAAACATGTTTCCCACCAATGACCGAGTGGTAAAATCACTGAACAATGGTACTTCTGAACCATATTTGATGCCAGGCAATCGAGCTGGCTGCATGGGCATTTTCATGGTTTTCCCCATGTGTAACATGTATACAAGATAGTTTCTCTTAGAAAGTCCTCCATGAAGGCATACCTCCTCTTAGACAGACAACCAAAGCATGCTTTGCTATAATCAACTATACCAACTTTTAAACGTAACTTTTTAAAAAATAGCAACTCTTAATTTTATATATAAATGAAATGGTTTAATTAATTTTATATATAATGTATATGCATAAATACTACAACATTCTTACCTTTTGAATGAATTTTTCAACGCTCTGAACTATATGCTTGTAAAATTTAATGCCTTTGATTGCACTCTTTGTTATTTGAGTCATCTTTGCCTTTGAGATGGGTGGTTTTACCTCATATAATGAGGATAACTGAAAGAAAAATCAGAATGTATTAAAATGACAATGCATTGATTACTTATTACAGATGTAATTATACACGCACAGCTAAAATTTTGCTAACACGAAAAAAGCGTTACAAACCAGATTATTCTTACTTTAGGAAATATAAATGCTCAATGTTATTATTCTGACTATCACTTAATATAAACTTTGTGAAAGTATAGTACATCACATACTGAAAGTATGAAGGTCACGCAACATAAAATATTTATAATCTATGAACCCAGGAACAGACACTGTTATGTGCAAAGCAATTTTTAGCCCAAACGGCGTTAACCCAGAAGGGCTATTAATTTCGTTTTGGCATTTTGCATTGATTCACTATAAAGGGTGATTCGCCTTTTAAATTGTTGCTACCACATATTAGAGCCCTGTATTATATTTAAAGAAATTAATTAATGAAGAATCTGCATAAATGTATCTGTTTCTCGCACTGCGATAAAACGTTACATAGAGCCATTAAATTCTAAATATATGAGTTGTTAATAACTCCTCCTTCATTCTGTAAAACTCAACATCCTCTCAGTCCAGATTAGGTCAACACTGCAAGACTTTACCACATATCCCATTCAAAATGCCTTTTTCATGCCTCTTGATTTACCCTTTCAAAAAGTTAACGATAAAGTTTTTGTAGTTATGCCAAAATGAGTGCCAATATGAAACCAATTCCAAGAAAAACTAGTGTTATTTCTTGTTACTGGTATATGATGCATATAATACATGAGAGAACACAAACAGCTATCCGGGTGTTAGAACAAGAATTGCACATATTTAGCAGACTCATTAACCGCTTCCCTTACAAATTTTTTTGAAAAAAATTGCGAAAAATCATCACATTTTTTTATTTTATTATTAAATACAGCAAAACGAAACAAATCAAAATATGTAGGTTTTAAGTTGAATTTTTAATCTTTTGAAGGTGTAAAAGCATTTATTTTTAATATAGTTTACTATCCCGAGTTATCTTGGGCAAACGGAAAAAAGTTAAATATTAATCTTTGCATGATAGTTTTTGAAACAAGGGACAACACAGAGTGATATACCTGACATTCTACACTGGTATCTGGTCTCTTTTCTTACTGGCTTACCGCTGGAATCTCTTTCACGGGAGCACAGAGTACACTGTCTCGTTGGATTTGATTTCTTTTTTTTTTTTTAATTTTTCACCCATCTTCATAATTACTTATCTGAAAAATCATCGCTTTCGCTATCTTGCATCATTGCCATCATTTTATTTTTTCAACGCATGCATCCTTCTTTATATATTACTAATCCACAAGCCAACGTATACAATACAATAGGGAAACACGTGACCAATTCCTCCAAAAGAATCCTGCAACCAACAAAATTTGGCAAATTGCCAAACAAAGCTGAATATTTCCTTTCATTTCCTCCAAACAGAATAAAACCGTGATAAAAGAAATCGAACTAACAAATTCTGCTTCGCCCGAGTTTTCTCGGGATAATAATTAACTGCAATATATACGAACCCGAGATAACTCGGGATAATCAGGCAAGTGGTTAACTCAAATGACACTGAGCAAGTCTTTTTAAGAATTTTTTTTAAAAAAAGGGCTATGATATGTAATTTTGTTAATTTTCTATGGACAAATAATACCTAACTATAGTTTTTATTATATAAATGCATATATATATATATATATATATATACACATAAACCTTTGTCTTGCTCAATTTGCAAAATAAGACGTACCATATATTTCTGTGTATAAGTCCCGAAATTTTAGCTAATTTATTATTGGACAGATTTACAAATAAATTGTAAAAATATTGAAACAAATATTGCATTTTAACAAAAGATTCCTGCCACCACAAATATAATCTGCACAAAAAGTGCACGTTGGCATCTTTAATCATATTTTATCAATTTTTGGCATTTAACCCTTTGAGAGGCCATATATATAATAATTTAAACTGAGGTAAAAGTTGCATGAACTGTAACTTAACCTAGGAACACATAATTGAGACTTATAAAAAAAAAAAAAAAACTAGAGAGAAATCCTGAATTTTGATGGCTGGTATATATATTTGATACCAGTGCCCATCTACAACATTTTTTTTCCAGGTAGCTGACAGCTGTTAATTTTTTTTTCCATCTCTTTTTGCACACTTTTGATGCACTTTTATAGAGATAGGTGCTTGAATATAGTTATGTAAGTCTAAAATCACAAACTTTTAAGATTTTGCTAGAAATTTAAAATTTTAAAAATAAAATTTTCATCTTCATGCGCTTTGGTGATGCCACCCAGCTGAACACACTTATGTAAAATATGGGTAAAAAGCTTTTGAAAATGACTTAAATTCAATATTATTATTTTATGAAAAAATTAGCAAATATAACATTGCATGTGTAAACCATATCATGCTGTAATTGAACTAGTAATGCTAAAAAGAGATGCAACTCGATGAAACACGAACCACTGCAACTCAGCTGAAAAATTATGTTGCATTTTTGAAGTTATTATATTTTATGCTTTAGATAATATATAAAAAGAGCATACTTCATGCCATGATAACTAGAACTTCCCCTCTCCAAACACTTTTGTTATAGAGGCCCATAAGGACCCTTTTTTTACTTCCTTGTATGAAATAAAAAGGAAGTACTCTAATCGCGAAAAGTTTCGGGCAGCATATTTCAACGAAAATATCCATTTTGACCGTGATTGAATGAAATTTAATGATGTTTTTGCGTGACATCTGTACGTAAGGAAGGAATAAAGGACTCTTTTCCTCCAAAAAAAATTATAAAACTGCTTTAAAATGAATTCTGAAGAGAATTTTTCGTGGCGTCAGTGCATACATACATACGTATCTCGCATAACTAAAAAAGGAGTAACCTCAGAACACTGAAATTTTGTATATAGGACTGCTATAACATGTAGACATGCACCTCGTATTTTGGTTGCAATCGGCCACACCAAACATATATAAATATATATCCACTCTGTTACCTGGCTCAGTTATATCAGTTTCTTTACTCTTATGTTTTTGTAAATTGTACATTTTTTTTAAATGATTGAATTATGTTGTTCTTATCTTCCAGTTAAAGTTTTCATGCCTTTAGTAAATTTGCAAGCAATATTTGTACAATTATCAACAATTTAAAAGCTGTTTAAGTGCGGTTAAGCCTAATTTTTAAATAACATGGTGGACATATGTGTTAACATTTGAAACAGTAGAATGGATTTGTTGCCAAACTAGAGAGACCAAGTTTCGCAACAACAAAGATAACGCCTTCATTTATTATTGTGAATTAAATCATGCTTAATTCTTTCTGGAATTTTATTGAGAAAATATGTGTTTAAGATTTACTTCGTAATTTTTAATGTACATATTTTGAGTTTTTATGCATTTTTGTCTTGTCGGGAAGTGAGAACTGAACTAAATGAGAAATATTGAATCATCTGTGAAAAACTGTTTATTTTTGGTTTTGTTTGCTTAATTTCTTTTATACATCATTCTGGATTTATTATAGTATTTGAATAGAACATGCGGCAACGATTAGATAATTCTTCAAATGATATAAATGTTGTGCATTCTGAGTTACAATATGAACGAAATATTAAGCTGTTAAGTGAACCTAATGCCAGAGTGTCGCTACGGTAAACAAATATAGTGAATTTTAAAGAGTGCATTTATTTTATTGTGGTTTATGCACTATCGACGAAGTAGATTTTATTCAATCCAATAAGTTTAAATGAAATGCAAGAACAAGGAAGTCATGTGTACACATCCAATTTTTAATTTTTTGTAAATAGAGGTTGAAATATATCATTTTGTTCAGTAAGAAAAGCTGTTAAACAATTTTATTGTTTGATACACCTCAAAGTCCTTATTTTGATCAAAACTAAAAAAAACTCAAATATCCCCCCTTTTTCTTTCCAAAGATAAATGTTTTATATCTAAAACTAGCCTTGGAAATATTTTATCTGCTCTCAGCAACTTTGAAGATTTATTTCGAAAACCACATACTTGTAATCTAACCCAGGGCAAAATTTTCTCTTGTGCTTACTAGTTTTGAAATTAATAAAGACGATATTCTAAAGAATAAAAGCATGCTTTCAAATCAGCAGTTTTTCCATTTCACTAAGAGTGCATTTAAATGCATTTCTATTTCCTGTATTTTTAAGTGAGCTTTGTGTCATCCCTTTGAGTGATCTTATCGCATAAAGGGAAGAAGGCATGACCCCCAAATGACAAATTAGTAGTCAATCACCTCTTTTCATTTTCTCTGCATTCTAGGATTTTGGAAAACAAGAACAAGAAAAAAGGAAAACAAATTCTAGGATTTTGGAAAACAAGGCTAACATGCCTTATTTAACATCTACAATTGTGTAACATTTTGAAGCCAGACAACAACTTTGAAATAGATGTTTTTCTCCTGGGAAAGGGTGAAGTACTGAATTAAAAGTTTAGCTAAACAGAGACAAATGAGAAACTTGAGCAAACAAAGAATAAAAAGAAACTTGTATTCACTCCTAGCACAAGTTTAGTAAACTTCCCATGAACATAATATTGAATCCTAAACAAATTATAAAATTAATCATAAAAAAATTATTACATCACAAACTATTTTAATAAAGAATATAAAGAAATTCGATACTTTTCCATTTCGCCGGCGCAGGCATTAGTCGCCGAAAATGATACAACCTATGCCAAACAGTCTGTCCCCGCTGGTAAACTTTTACCACCACATTTTCATAACAAGTAGCAGAAATTTCTTATCTGTCAATTCTTTTTCCTAATACATCAAAAATGGATGAAAAATTAGTGAAAATTTGGGATTTGACCAGAAGAAGAAACTGTCAGGTTCTTTCAAAGGATAGATGATTTGCCTAAAATTGCTACTTGTGATAATAATCATGAAAGGAAATTGTATTTCGGAGACTAAATTTAATGGTGCTGTAACCCTTCAATTTGTCATAGTGAAAGAAGTATCTGGAAAGGCA